TCTCAGGTAACTAATTTAGCTTCATGCCAGACAGATCAACCACGGAATCCATTTTTCTTCTTAGGATGCTGATGGAAAGGTACAAAGAAGGCAAGACATGCCTACATATGGTCTTTATAGATTTAGAAAAGGCATATGATAAGGTACTAAGGGAAGTTTTATGGTGGGTGCTAGAAAAGAGAGGAGTACATGTGAGGTATATCAAGGTAATTAAGGACATGTACAATGGGGTAGTCACGAGTGTGAGAATTGCTGGAGGCTATATGGCAGAGTTCCCCATTCAGATCGGCCTTCATCAAGGATCTGCTCTTAGTCCTTATCTTTTTCACCATTGTGATGGATGGGCTGACAAGAGAAATCCAAGATAGAGTTCCTTGGTGTATACTTTTTGCGGACGATATAGTTTTAGTTGATGAACATAGGGAAGAAGTTAACCGTAAGTTAGAATTGTGGAGACAGACTCTTGAGACGAAGGGATTTAAGTTAAGTACGACGAAAACTGAATACATGTTTTGTAGGTTTGGTAACTCAAGTAATCAGAGTGATAAAATTTCTTTAGATGGTGTGGAGATTAGGGCTTCTAGAAAGTTTAGGTAACTTAGGTCTATAGTGCAGTACGAAGGAGATATAGAAGAGGATATTCAACATAGGATTAAGGCAGGGTGGGTTAAGTGGAAGAATGCTACGAGAGTTTTATGTGATGGCAAGATGCCTATTAAGTTGAAAGAAAAGTTCCATAGGACTGTAATCCGCCCAGCTATGTTATATGGTAGTGAATGTTGGGCCATTTAGAGACAACATACATGTAAGATAAGTGTCGCAGAAATGCGTATGTTAAGATGGATGAGTGGTCATACGAGAATGGATCGCATAAGAAATGAAGTTATTCATAGTAAAGTAGGTGTAGCACCAATAGAAGATAAGGTACGGGAAGGCCGCTTGAGGTGATACGGGTATGTCCAACGTAGACCGCTAGAAGCACCAGTTCATGCTTGAAAGGACATTCTTATACCTAATACTAGGAGAGGGAGGGGTAGACTAAGAATTACGTAGACCGAAGTAGCTAGGAATGACATTCTACATCTAGGCCTTCATGAAAGTCTAATTTCAAATAGAGCTGCGTGGAAAAGTGAAATCTATATAGCCAACCCCAATTAAATTGAGATTAAGGCTTGTTGTTGTTGAAAGTAGGTGTAGCACCAATAGAAGATAAGGTGCGGGAATGCCGCTTGAGGTAGTATGGGAAGGCGGCTTGAGGTGGTACGGACATGTCCAACATAGACCGCTAGAAGCACCAGTTTGTGCTTGGGAGGACATTCTACTAAGATAGGGAGGGGTAGACCAAGAATTACGTAGATCGAAGTAGTTAGGAATGACATTCTACATCTAGACCTTCAAGAAAGTCTAATTTCAAATAGAACTGCGTGAAAAAGTGAAATCCATATAACCGACCCCAATTAAATTGGAATTAAGACTTGTTGTTGTTGAACCTTAAGTTTTGATCATTAAATGCTCATATTTAAACTTAAAATACTAAATAAATAAAAAATCAAATGTATTACGATTTAAATTATATTTTTTTTTATAACTGTAAACATTACAAGTTGAATTAAACTCTATTATGATCTTAATTCAATTAGAAGAAAAAGAATCAATACAAAATTTTGGATTAATTCACTCCATACTCCAGGAAAAAAGAATTTTTTTTACTCCACTACTGAGGTATTCAAATTGCTTCTAAACCACCGACGTGTAACCGAAAGTATAAATACACGAAAAGAGTAATGCTAGAGATACTAAATTAAATCTCAACTTTTATCTACCAATTCATATCACATGTGAGTTGTTATCTTTTTATTGGTAAATGCAAACTCCTTCATTAATAGATGTGGCAATGCTTTAAACACCTACTAATGTAAACATGACAACTCACATACCACATCAGTTAGTATACAATAGTTGAGATTTGAGCTTGTGTCCTTAATATGAGTAATCTTAACAAATACCCCTTGAAAGTGCACGTTTCAGGATTTTTACCCTTTACTCTTGATTCATACAATATTTAGTAAAAAATTACACTAACAAAAAGGGTTTTTAATAAGAGTAAGGGGTAAAGGTTCAGACTATCCATTTTTTCCCCTAGTATTGTTCAAACGCAAAACCCATAAGCAAATTTATGAATTCAACTTAGAGCCTATTTGAATTGGCTTAAAAAAGCATCTTTTGGCTTTTTTGGTCCAAAAGCTGCTTTTGAACCTGTTTTGATGGACACTCTTAAAATGTTTTTAGCTTTTATAAACTCTTTTCAGACAAGTTACCTTTGTGATGCTTGTAAAAGAAGAGATTTTGAAAAGCTGTTTATTTACATTTTAATATTTTATTTGTGAACAACAAATAAAAGTCTCATTTATATCATTGTATTATATTGCCTTTTTAACAATAAGAGCTCTTGATTTATTAACCCAAATAAATTTAAAAGCTCTTTTGAAATAAATTTTTTTTTTCCATGCACTATCTTGAGTTATACTTTTCTTCTTTTATTATTTAAAAAGTAAAAGCACAAGCCCTTAACTACTCAATTTAACATGACCTCAAGATTCAGTCAACCCCTAGCTAAAATTCTCATTGGTTGGGTGTAGGTTCAATTTTTACTTTTCAGAAACCATCTAAAAACTAAACCCACCCAATAAATTTTTCATATGTTCTAAAATATATTCTAAATATGTCTTTTCTAGTTTTGATTATGGTTTATGACTTATGTATTTGAATTTGTTTTATATTTACTTTATAATGCCCTCTACAGGTTTATCAGAGTGGATTGATTTTTATTTTTAGGTTGATAATTGAATGTATGTTTATGTATTTTCTATCCATCTAAATTGATTGGGTGAGTTAAAAAAAATCATAAAAATCATAAAACTCATAACCTATCTGATGTCTAGCTCTAAGATTTAAGCTTTAACCGGACGTTTAAATTCTTTTTTTTAAGAAAAAAATTACATAAATAAAGGATAAATGGGAAGTTTATAATAAGGCTAAATCAAATTCAAGACTTCATAAAAAAAGGGAAAATCATATTAACTGGTGGTACAAAATTCTTTTATTTGAGTATTGATTAATTGAGCCTTACCCGGTTAGATTATGAGGTGGTAATTTCTTTTTTGTACCATATTATTCTGTTTTTAATATTATATATTTTCTAAGAACCTATTTCTTGCTCTAAAATTATGAAAATGAAGGAGGACCGTCATATTTTTTTTTCTTTTTTTTTTTTTCATATGAAAAGGACTAAAAGCACCATCAACAGTCGGCTACAGGCGGAAGAGCTACAATACAAATGGGTTTTCTCATTTTGGATTGGAACATTAGGAGGTGAATAATAACCACTTTCAATTTAAAAAGAGCTTTGTCGTTTAGTTACAAAATAAAGAAACCGAATTTATTGAGATGACAAGATATATTTTGCAAGAAATGGCAAAAAGTTTGAGCCGAGATTATCTCATGTTTGAGAGAAAAATAAAAAATAATTTTTTATTATTTTTTTATTTTTTATTATTTTTTTTTCTTGAGTAGAAAAAAAAAAGATATTAATAAATTTTTTATATTAAAAATAATTTTTTAATATAATTATTAAACGTATTTTTTAAAATAATTTATATTTAAGATTAAAAATATTTTTATTTTTATTTATATATAAAATAAAATTATTTTAAAATAAATTTCAAACGCATTTTATATATTACTTTTCCAATTTGGCCATTCAATATTCCATTTTCTGATTTTCCTGTATAAAAAGTTAAAAGCAAGTGCTTATTTACGCAAAAATTTCCAACTCAGCTGCCGCAACTATTGTTTTTTCTTTTATTTTTATTTTTATTTTTATTTTTGTTTTTAGAATTCCGCAATTAATATGAAAAAAATATTCAATTAATAGTACCCTTTCCCTAAATCATCAACTAGTGTTAAATTTTTGTCAATTTTTATTGAAAAAAGTATATGTGTGTATTATTCTACATAAAAAGTAGATGTGAAGTAATTTATATACACAAAAAGATTCAAGACCTAATAAGTTAATATTTTGGGTCAAGTTGAGCTCCTAAAGTGTATTGAGTCAGTTTTACTTGTGGTGTCTCCTTAACAAGTGATATCATAGTTGATGATTCGTATGGGTCAAGCGATCACACTCGGTTACAATTCTCATATTACCTCCCGTGGAGAGTTGGTGTTCCCACATGTATGCGGATGGTGGAGCATTTGATGCATGGTTTCGGCTCTCTTTCCCATGTTTGAGTTGGTTCCCATTTAGAGTGTGATGTTTGGATGTGCCAATTACTTGAAACTTTAATTCGAGAGGGAGCTCAATGAACACACACATGAAAGGGTGATTGTTGATAAAAGCACATATGTGTGTTGACCCACATGAAAAGTAGATGCGAAGTGGTTTATATACACAGAAGAATCTAAGATTTAATAGATTAACTTTTTAAGTCAAATTAGGCTATTAAAGTGTGTTAGATTAATTTTACATGTGGTATCTCTTCAACAGTTTTATATGCGTTTTTTTATATCTTAATATGTCTTTTTAGATTAAACACTCACTATTAACCGTGATGAAAATCATATATATATATTTTGATGAAATGAAAATTATATATATGTGATTGTTCAATACAAGACCGTAAAATATATTTTTTTAATTACTTGTCCCAAAACACGTTTTTCATTTTTTTTATTGGACTGCCAACTCAAGTTGAGCATAGACTTTTTAGAGAGTAATACAGTTATATGTTTTTTAGTCTAGAGAGAGAGAGAGAGAGAGAGAGAGAGAGAGAAATTTTAGAGAGAGAAGGCCAGTTGGTTTTTGTGTTTCCCACCAGTTTTCCAACCCTTTTCTGGGACCGTGAAAATCCTTCTATTGCCTCTCTCTCTCTCTCTCTCTCAGCTCAAGTGGGTCATTTTTTCAGGTCCAACTATTCCACTTGCTGATCTTTGCTTTGCTCTTTGTCTCTCTGTCTTACCTGCCCTTCTCTCTCTTTCTCTCTCTTCTTCCTTTAATATTTTCTATACTTACCCAGTAAGCCAGTCTCTCTTTTCAATGCTCTTCTTCGTCTCTTTGCACACAAACTGAGATCCATTTCTCTCAATGTGAAAAATACTACTTTCTGATTACAGGTTGTGATATTCAAATATTTCTTTTACTGGGTGCTTGAGTATTTGCTTCCTGGTTATATTATTGTGTGTTTATCATCAAGATTTGGTCTTTTTTGGTTCATTAAAAAGAAGAAAAAGTTGTAGCTTTCAATCAAAGCATCTGGGACTTGAAGCTTTACTGCTGCTACTCGAAATCGTCTCCTTTTGTGGGTTTTGGATGATGGGTTTGGATTTGGATTTGAGTTCCTTGTGGGGTTTAGCTTTGTAATAAGGAAATAAGAAGAATAAGAAGAGAAAAAAAAAAAAAAAAAGGTTCGTTTTGGATTAGATTGAACTTGGTTTTTAATTTTTAATTTTTAATTTTTATTTTTTGGTGTGGATTTGATGCTTGGTCCAAGACAATGGAGATGTTTATGGCCAGATTTTTATTCCTTTAGCATTCAACACTTTAGCTTAGTGAAGTAACAAATGAAGAACCTTCTTAAGAAGCTCCACATAATGTCCAATCAATCAGAAGATGGCGGAGGAGAAGGGTCAACTTCATCAAGGGGTAGTCACAAATCCATTGAAGGCTCTTCTCCTGACAGGATTTTGCACTCTAGGTCCCACCATAATCCTGATCTCAACAAATCATTTTCTGGGCTTTCAGGATTGTTCAATTCAGTTACTAATAGACACAGTTCTACTCTCTCATCATCATCATCATCACCTACCAATGTGACAAGAGGTGAGAGAAGTGGACCAGCTGATGCTGCGGTTTCGGTTATTAGTTCCGGTTTGGATGTCGGGTTGGAGACGTCGAGGCAAGATTCGGGGTCGAGTAACTCGAGGGATCCTGATGTGGAGGAAGAATATCAGATACAATTGGCTTTGGAATTGAGTGCCAGGGAGGATCCGGAGGCAGTTCAGATTGAGGCTGTGAAGCAGATTAGTTTGGGCTCTTGTGCTCCTGATAATACTCCAGCTGAAGTTGTTGCCTATAGATATTGGGTAAGTTTTTCTTTCTTCATATGCCAGAGTGATTATACTTTGCTTCACTTGCTATTATTGTTATTGACTATTTAGATGGGGTTACAAGTAATTAGGAGCCCATTAACTTTGGTCTAATTTGGATTGTCTTCTCAACATACCTTCTTTATTGTGGTATGCCATTCCAATCATATGGGTGCCAAAATGTACATGGTTATAATTAAGTTGACTTACAAAGCAAAAAAGAAAAAAGAAGAAAAAATGTATTCCAGGGTCGTTCTTATGTTGTGCTGCTAAGCATGAAACTTAAGTTTTACTTTTTTTTTTCTTTTTTTGATAAGAAACAAGGAAACTTGTATTAGTAACTAGAAAGAATTACAAAAGGGAAACTTAAGTTGTACTTAATAGCAAGAAACTCCCAAGTATGATGAAAAACAGAAAAAGTTCGAGGAAGGTGTCATTGTCACTCCCATGGCTCTTGTGAGCCCTGTCCTTTACCTTGACCTTTTGTTGCTTGTGAGGAAGAAAAGGAAATCAGACCTCTAAAATCAGTGGAATGCTTAAAGTGCAAACAATATTGTTGAGAGTTGCTATCAGAACGGCTGGGTGTTCTACTCCTACCAGTGTCAAAACATGTAGTAATTTTTCTTGGAATTCACCATATAGTATAAAATCTATATTCAGGCATAAATGGCGAAGAACTAGGGTGAAGCTGTGGGTTTGCTGTTGTTTTTATCTGGGGTTATTTGGTCTATAGATTGGTGCATTGATGTCTTGGTTGGGTACTATTATGTTATCGCTTGTGCGGCTAGAAGTTTCTTATCGTTCTTTGGAATTAAGCACCATGCCACTAGAAGTCCGAGGTATAGAAAGTGCCTGGTTTTTATTCATTTAGTATCATTTTTAGAATTGTTTAGCCTCTTATTTTCCTTATGTTGAGGAAGGGGAAGAATCATGTACATTTATTATCATACACTGGTGGCACGGTACTTTTGATTTTAGAAATCATTGTTTATTTTAGCTAGCAATTAAATAGAAAATTTTAAAAGTTCCCAGGAGTCATTTTAATTTTTGATGATCATATTGATCAAAAGAAAATAGGCCCTCATTATTTATACTATTTGTTTTTGCCAACTAGGAAGCTGATGTTATAAAATCTTATACCCTTACAAATAGTGCTTTCATTAAAATTTTTTTACCATGTCAGATTTAGCATGATATATACTGGAAAAGCAAAGTGGTTATTAAATTTCCATTCATTCCTTAAACAATTCCACACCTTTACATATCTTCTATTAGGTTTCGGTCTGTAGGAGATAAATCCAATGTGGGAGAGACTTATTCCTATGCTTAACTTCTTTCTTGACTGTCTTATATTTATTCCGTTCTAACCTATCTCATATCGTAGATTTATGCATGCTTCACAGAATTACAATTCTCTTAGCTATGATGACAAGATCTTGGATGGCTTCTATGATCTATATGGAATCTTGACCGTATCCACCTCGGAAAGAATGCCATCCCTTGTTGATCTGCAAGGAACGCCTGTATCAGAGAATGTCACCTGGGAAGCAGTTTTGGTCAATAAGGCTGCTGATTCAAATTTGTTGAAGCTTGAGCAGATGGCGCTTGAGATGGCTGTAAAGTCAAGGTCGGATTCTTTGGTTTTTGTAAATAGCGATTTGGTGCGAAAACTTGCAGTTTTAGTTGCTAACTATATGGGTGGGCCAGTTGGGGATCCTGAAAGCATGTTGAGAGAATGGCAAAGTCTCAGTAATAAGTTGAAAGCAACCATTGGTAGCATGGTTCTGCCACTTGGTTCTTTGAAAATTGGATTGGCTCGGCATCGCGCGTTATTGTTCAAGGTACTTCTTGGTATTATAGTATGATTTAAACCTAATCAGCATTGCTGTATCCTCTTTTTTCAGTATTGGTAGTAAACCTTTAATCGCGTATATCTTAGTATCTGGAGGTTTAACTGAATATATCTTCTCAGCGTGTCGCTAATTTCTATGATAAGCTTTTGTCCACTTCTATTCAACCAACCTTGTTTTATTTCATACCACATCTGTATTTGATTAAAATGCGTGTCAGTGTTTTTGTTATATTTGGTTCCGTATGTTGATGTTTAACTTCAAATTAGACGTAACTCATTGTCACCTAGAAAATAAATAAATAACTAAATAATCCTTGCATGATAACAAGCTTATTCACCTTTTGCTAACTTTTCAATGGAATATTTGTTGCTGGTTTGTTGTCATACCAAAGAGACTATTGAAAGTTTGCTAGTGTTTTGCGCTGAGGTACACCATTCAGTAATTTGTAGTCTCCCATTTCTGAGGAATAACACTTGCACTTGTCATTGTAGTATGCATGAAACTCATACCATAAGGGTGTCACTGTATGCTTTTTGAACCTCAGTGAGTGAGCCATCAGCGCTTCATGTTCTAGGTTTAGTGTTCGAAAGAAATAGGAGGATTTTGAAGAAAGATGAACAAGATTTTGTCTTTGAGAAAGAGTCAAGTTTTTCGGATCACCGTGGATTTATTCATCAAATGGTTTTGAGGGTACTCCTTTCTTCTTGTTCCATTTGATTTAAGGGATATGTTGTAATTATATTTTTATTTGATGATTCTTCCTTCACTTTTATTGACTGTTTGTTCTCTTTAGTACCATGTTTTTTTTTTCCTTCCCCCCGCTATTAATTAAAGTTTCTTCTCCTATCAGCTAAAGAAATTAAAAAAAAATGAAAAGAAAAACTGTTAAAGCTTCTCATATCAACATATATGAAAAACATTTCGAACTTATTTGGCTTAATAGGTTTTGGCTGATTGTGTGAGCATCCCCTGCCGACTAGTGAAGGGACAACAGTATACTGGTTCCATTGATGTGGCAATGAACTTTGTAAAGATCACTGGTGGAAGGTAATTGTTATCTAAAGTTTACTTTTATGATGCAGTTCTCTCTGATTTGCCATTCATTTTTTGTTCAGATTGAAGTTTATTTTAAAAAATTAACTGGCCATATTTATATTTATAGAAACCATAAAGGGCTGTTGAGTGGTCAGGCTTGTGTTGGCCCCCACATGGTCCTGGGATCAATTCCTGGCAACTTACCTTACGAATAGCCATGAGTTTCATGCTTCACAGATATTGTAGTCCGACTTGTGCGTGTTAAGTGAGTTTGGGGGACTTCTAAAATATTAAAAAAAAAAAAAAAGTTGCAGTTTCTTTACAGACAATAATAATAGACGAGGAATCTTTTTAATAGATTTTATTTATTATTGTGGTCTGTAATTGGTTTCGATGTTTTTCCTTACATGCCAAAAGAACTGAAATGAATTCAGATTAACTTGGTTTTTTAAGATGCGTATAATCTGAATTTCAGGGAGTACATAGTTGATCTAATGGCAGATCCTGGTACACTTATTCCATCTGATGCAGCTGGATCACATATAGAGTATGATGAATCTTTCTTCTCTGCTAGTCCTTTGTCCAGAGACATTGATTCATCTCGTGCCGCCTCTTCCAGCAGCGGGGTTGGAAGTTCATTTGAGGATTATTCAGACTTCGGGACATTTGAAAAGAGAACAAGGTTCCAAAACCCTCCCTTGGTAGGACGGGAATCTGATGACAAAGAAGAAATAACTGCTCCTGCAAAACTAGTGGGACCAACTGAGTTTGAGGGAGAATCCAAAACGCTCTCAGATGATTTGAAAAAACCTACAGAAGAGAAGAGGCTCGGGCAGGAATTTCTGACCAGGACTAATTACCCTTATGCGCATGCAAGATCTCCTTCTTGGACCGAAGGCGTTAGCTCCCCTGCTGTTCGTAAAAAGAAAGTGAAGGATGTTTCTAAATACATGATAGATGCTGCCAAAGAGAATCCACGATTAGCTCAGAAACTCCATGATGTGTTGCTCGAAAGTGGCGTTGTTGCTCCTCCAAACCTTTTTACAGAAGCTTATCCAGAACAAGTAGATGTGTCGACAATTGAGCCCAGTTTTCAAAGAGAAGATTTGGGTGAAAATAAGGAAGTTATTGAAATGCAAGAAAATAAAGGCCAAGATGATATCGCTCCAGGTTGGTTTCTGCCTCCTTTGCCTGACAACAGAGTACATTCTAAAGCAACTCCTGGTCAACCAGAGCCTCTAAAAGTTGTGGAAGGTTTAGGGATCAACCTCACACGTGATAGTCGGGAAATAGCAGGACACATTTTCTCATCACAGTCTGAAATGGCTCCTGTGAAATATACAAAAAATGTCCCAGTTGCTGCAGCCGCTGCAGCTGCGGCAGCTGTTGTTGCGTCTTCAATGGTTGTTGCTGCGACAAAGTCAACTGCTGACCCGAATCTCGAACTTCCAGTAGCAGCTGCTGCCACCGCTACTGCTGCAGCTGTGGTCGCAACCACTGCAGCTGTCAGTAAGCAGTATGAGCATGGCATGCGAAGTGATGGAGACACAGATAGTGGTGGTTATGAACCACGAGGTAGTGGTGACCGTGAGCATGATGGTGTGGTAACAACTTCAGAAGGCGAGAGAATATCAGATAAGTCTGCAGGTAATGAGAGCACGAAATCTGATTCAATTGATGACGTCGCAGACTGCGAAATTCCGTGGGAGGATATCAGCTTGGGTGAGCGTATTGGACTTGGTACTGAACCATGCTTTATGCTATCTTGTCATGTAATTTGTTTCATTGATAAACCTAATCCCCTAATTTTGAATTTCACACTTTTGGTGCATCCTTTGCGTTGTAGGATCTTATGGGGAGGTCTACCGCGGAGAGTGGCATGGGACTGTAAGTATTCTCATGCCTGAACCTGAAAATAGCCTTTCGTGCTGCACTAATGTTATAAATTCGAATCATGTCTTTAATCTTGAAAAAATATTTATTTCTTCACTTGCGTATTAGGAAAACATGATTGGAAAGAGGTTTAGCATTTTGCTCCCTGAATAACATATTTATACATGATTATAAACATGTTATCCAGAGGCCAAAATGCTAAACCTCAGTTTTTGTCATTTTATAAACCAAATTCAGAAAAGATAATTACAGACATACAGTTGTTTCTTCTCAAAAAAAAAAAAAAAAAAAAAAAAAAAAAAAAAAAAAAAACATGTTTATACGTGATTAGAGAAAGAAGCTTTCAGACAGTGGGATACTTTAACAAAACCTAAATCATAGAGGGTCAAATTTGGACATTACGTAAATAAATAACATTTTGATGAATCTGTATAGAATTAATGTTTTCTTGCCGTTTTCTTCCTTTCTGTCCTTCCCTATGTTTTCTTTTAGACATTAAGCAACAGGTCACTGTTGAAAAGCTATCGTTAGGCAGTCTGTGTTCACAATATTGGTTTTTTATTTGCTCTACTAGTTGTTTTCTTACTACTAATTAAATGTTATTATTATATGGTTTTGTAGGAAGTTGCTGTGAAGAGATTTCTGGACCAAGAAATTTTGGGTGAATCACTGGCAGAATTCATGAAAGAGGTAAAAGCTGTTGCCTTCATTTGTCTCAAATTATCAGTTTTAGGACATTTATACAGCATTTCCCTTATATATGAATATGTTCATTATTTTGTGAGGACAGTTGTCATGGAGTCATGTCAATATTTTTCACTGTGGATCTCTTCAATACATTGTTATTTGCATGCTTTTTGAAATATAAAGATTATTTATTAAATGATATTTTTCCTTGTTTAAATTGTAAGGTTCGGATAATGAAAAGACTCAGGCATCCGAATGTTGTCCTGTTCATGGGGGCTGTTACTCGTGCTCCAAATCTTTCTATTGTTACAGAATTCCTCCCAAGGTTTGTTCGTAGTCTATTTTACATGGGTTAGCATAATGCGCTTATTGTTTAATTATCCCAGTCTGTGTCTAATGGTTATTGATTTTTGTAGTAAAATAATTAGAATTTACAAGGTCGGGTGACTTCTTCAAACATTATGAAAATAGATTTATTCCTTGATTGATTTATGTTTGTTGTGTTGTATTGAATTGTTTAAGATAAATGATATGCTGCTCTATATTACATTTAGCTCGAGACTCTTACAGATTAATAGGTTAAGATGATAAAATATTAGGCTTCGAGTTTAAGAACCCATCTTTAACTTCTTGAATTTCTTATGTTGTCTCAATCTTGTCTTCTTACACCTTTCCAGTTTCTTCATTTTGGGGTCTATTTCAGTTGCTACTATGCATTGTCATGTCATACAAAACAATAGACAAGATGAGTTATTTATGCTGTTTTTATATTTTTTGTTTTGATCTGTATCTCAAAGTCCCACTTACATAATAGCTGACAATCTCTGTGTTTTGGTTTAAATAATTAACCTCTGAGACTGAGTGATCTGGGAAAAGGGAATACTGAAACATAATCGTGTGTTGCAGAGGTAGTTTATATAGGTTACTTCATCGGCCTAACAACCAATTAGACGAAAGGAGGCGCTTGAGAATGGCTCTTGATGCTGTATGGTTTTTTCTTTCTTCTCTTATATTCCAATGTTCATTTTTTTAACTTATATTTATCTACACTGATTCCTTAAAGTGTGATATTTATCTGCAATGTAATTAAATTTTCAGGCTCGGGGAATGAACTATTTGCATAATTGCACACCGGTGATTGTACACCGTGATTTGAAGTCCCCAAATCTTCTTGTTGATAAAAATTGGGTAGTGAAGGTGATTTATTATGCCTATTATATAATTGAATAAATATATGTATTCATAGTAAGCAATTTGGTATGATTTTAATTTTTGCGCCTTCTATTAGGTCTGCGATTTTGGACTCTCTAAAGTGAAGCACAGCACATTTCTCTCTTCAAGGTCCACCGCCGGAACGGTAAGCTAGAATATGTTTATGTCCTTTCTAAAGCAGCTTGGTCAACAACGCAACAAAGTTATGGTCAGGGAAGCCTTTATTATTAAATTATCTAGAAAAACCATTCATGTTATCATCTCCTATTGGTCCTTTTAAGGGTTTCTACTTTTTCTTTAACACGTGTAATCCTTGATCATAATCGTACTTGTATATGTTGTTGAAGACGGCCTGCAACTCCTTTGCTAGCCGTTTTATTGAGTTCAAGTTGTTGTATTCTCCTTCAGGCTGAATGGATGGCTCCCGAAGTTCTAAGAAATGAACCTTCAGATGAGAAGTAGGCCTATTTCTTTTCTTTCTCAAGTATACCAGATGCTTTTATGAGGCAATTGCATAAATTGTTTTCCAAATATGCAGGTGTGATGTTTATAGCTTTGGGGTAATATTGTGGGAACTGTCTACAATGCAACAACCGTGGGGGGGAATGAACCCAATGCAAGTTGTCGGTGCGGTTGGATTTCAACATCGACGGCTTGACATTCCCGATGATGTGGATCCTGCAATTGCGGATATCATCAGAAAGTGCTGGCAGACGTGAGTATACTCTCTGTAATTGTGTTTCATCCGGATTTTGAATTTATTGTTTTTTCAAACTATTTATGCCAAGTGGTGTTAATCAATTTTCCTTAATCAAAAGTTGGTCTTCAATGATTTTCAATGTGATTTTATCTCGATAATCAAAATGGCGGCAGCAGATGAGATTTGGGAATCAAATGCCTGGTTCTCTTGATTGTTTATTGGAGTTCAAACTTGTCATTTATATGTCTACCCATTACTATAGCCTCATATAAACTCGTTTAATCTTGTCACCATGCATAAATTCTAATCCAACAATAAGTTTTCATCTCGCACAATTTGATACTCACTTGAAAATGTCTTGCAATGCTGAGGCAGTTGAATATTTGATCTCTGTTTTCTTTTCTTAATCTTGTGGACGAGTTGTCAGAGTAAGAATTTGCGTTTTTGTGTTTCTTATGCAATTGTCATAGATTGCACCATGTCATTTGTACTCGTATATGCATTTGTGTGTTTGTTATATATGAGATTTGGCAATCAAATGCCTGGTTCTCTTGATTGTTTATAGGAGTTCAAACTTTTCATTTATATGTCTACTCTCGTACAATTTGATACTCGCTTGAAAATGTCTTGCAATACTGAGGCAGTCGAACATTTTGATCTCTGTTTTGTTTTCTTAATCTTTTGAACGAGTTGTCACAGTAAGAATTTTTGTTTTTGTGTTTCTTATGCAATTGTCATAGATTGCACCCTGTCAATTGTACTTGTGTATGCATTTGTGTTATATAGGTCGGCAGTAAACCTTATCTTTGATCTAATTAACATTGTAGAGATCCAAAACTAAGACCCACATTTGCGGAGATCATGGCTGCTCTGAAGCCGTTACAGAAGCCTATAAACAGTTCTCAAGTTCCGAGACCCAGTGGCGGCCGTGAGAGAGTTCAGCCATCAAAAGTTGCAGAAGAAGCTGCAGACTAGTGAGAGCAATTTTTCCTATCTGACTGAATGTTACGTTGGTTGGTTCCAGCCAAACCAATAACAAGCAGTCAATTTGTAGATTGTTTGGAACAAGTATGAGAAAGAAAACGATTGAAGATCATGAGATGACATATACTCAAATTTGAGGTTGTGATTCTTTTTTCTTGGTTTCCTTTTTTTCTCTATATATTTTTAGCCGGGGCAGCCATTCTTAAGGTTGTGCTTTGTTTGTAAACAAAAAAGAATGAAAAAAAAAAAAAAAACAGAAGAAAAAATATCAATTGAAATTGTTGTAGCCCATGTCTGAATTGTTTCTGTCCATGTATTCTTGCCGAGTTCTCAGAATGAATGACAGGATAGAATAACTGAAACAGTTTTTTTTTTTTTCTGCGTGGAAATTGCCCAAAAAGGAAGAAAATGTTTGCTTTGGATCTAAGATTGCCAGGATCTCAATGCTAAAGTTGACCTGAAGATATCATAACTAAGTGCACAGTTCTGACATTTTACTGCCTAAAGTAAAAGGCTTTTTCCATGAAACAATTGAAGAAGTGGTAGTGACTTATTAGCACTGATATAGGACCAAACCACATAGCAAGTTTTCCACTTTCCTTTCTTAGGGTATGTGAATAATGGCCCAAACTTTAGACTGCTTTCAGAAAATGCCCGTTAACTTTTTTATTTTTGATTTGTTAATTTTTTTATTAGGTAATAATTTCAATATGATTAATCATATTTAATGTTTGGTTGCTCCCTGAATTTTTGTTCTTTTTTTTCTTGACAGTTTTGATCCTTGATGCATAGGGAAATGGAAGATTTATAAAATTTAAACAGAAATTAACCTTATCTTTATCGCATAGTAACTGAAGATTTTACAAAAATAGTTCACAAAATGTTCCTTTCAAAAAAAAAAAAAAAAAAGTGCCATGTGTTCTAGTTTTCAAAGGCTTTTACCAGTGTTGAAAAAAATATTTCGCACTTGATCTATTACGTTTACTGAATCATTAATCTATGGACATAAACTAATAATAAAAAAAAAAAGATTGCAGACTTTAAAAAGAAGCATCTAAAAGGAAATTTCATCATCATAATTCTTTTGCTGTTATTGCCAAATTGGAGAGAGAAATAATACATATGTCGTGAGAGCTCCAATTTTAACTTCTATGAGTACAAAGAAAGGACAACCCACCATTTTAAAAACTCTCATCTCAATTCTCATGCAAGGATAAGGTAGGACCAATCATACTTATAGAAAGTGCTACTTTATTTTCTTCTCCTTTCTAAGACTTTCTTAAGCAATTGAGTCCTTTTATCTCTATCCCAACATGGCTTCTTTCTTTGGTTCTCCACCATTTCTCTCCCACCCCCTAACTAGAACTCACCACTTATCTTCATCATCACAAACACGTCCTCCTCCTCCTCCTCTGCCGCCGTCGCAGAAGCCACCTTCGCAACCGCAAACTCCACAGCCAGGGCAGCAGCTAAGTGCAACTTCATCAGAACAGCCAACACCAGTATCAGCTAAAGTAATGCAACAACAAAAGGCCTCCAAGCCTGCAAGTTCAACCACTAAAGTTGAGTCTACAGACTGGATAGCTTCCACCTTAACCAGGCGATTCGGGCTCGGAGCTGGCCTTGCTTGGGTTGGCTTTCTTGCATTTGGTGTCATTTCTGAACAGATCAAGACTCGTCTTGAAGTCTCCCAACAGGAAGCTAACACAAGGTTTTTAATCTTTGTTTCCATCTCACCAGTTACATAATTTTCATACACCAAGCCCTTCAAAGAGTAATACATAATTCTCGAAAGCCTTTGAAACCGTTTCCAAGTTTTCTAGGATTGGTGGCTTATCAGATAGCTTGTTTTCCTTAATTTAGCCTTGGCATATCAGTCTTTTGATGCTCCTGATGACCTGATATTGTGTTTGGCAGAAATGTTGAGAAGGAAGAAGAGGTGGTGTTGCCTAATGGTATAAGGTAAATTTCGCATACTGCTCAAAACATGATTCTCTACAAGTACCAAAATATTTTACGGCAATTTTAATAACCAATACCCATTTGAGAAAACATAAAAACAAAAAACAAAAAAAAAAAGTACTATTCTTTACAATCACAAGCTTTATGTCAAATTATACTTCACCTAATGCGAGACTCGTAAAGTTAAAAAAAAAAAAAAAAAAAATCTTAACTGGCTGCACAAACCAATACCTTTGAGTGGCATGAATGTAAAAATAGCAAAAATGATGGAAGTATACGTAAACTTTCTCTTCTTAATTCACCTTCCAATCTTTCTTAGTTGTGATTTTCTTAACTCTAAAGCGGAGAGCACAGAAAACCTAGGTGTATGCTAAAAAAGTTTTCAATGAAAACACACCACCAATGTTTATTTATAGCACTAGGTGTACACCTTGGATTGGAATAATCCATACCCTACACCGAGAGAAGAAATTCGCACACTTATGACCCACACTTATGATATTATCTCCTTTGGACCTAAATCTGCAAGGAAATCGTTATTGTATTCTACCGCAAATCCGCCCTCATATCATTAGAAGATGAAGCACTTCATAAACATTACTTATAACCTTATTCAAGCAATATAGGACTGTTTGATTTACCTTAATGCATCTTGCCACCCTAATTCAGGCGGATTTGCCTGAAGGGATTAATGACTGTGACAAGTTACTAGTAGTAATAGTGATGTTCAATAATATTTCTCAATTCCAATTTTTATACAAATGTGAATTTTTGAATGATCAGATACTATGAATTAAAAGTGGGAGGTGGGGCTTCTCCAAGGCCAGGAGACTTGGTGGTGATTGATCTGCAGGGCAAAGTTGAAGGCAGTGGGGAAGTGTTTGTGGACACATTTGAGAAGGAACAAAAGCCTTTGGCTCTAGTAATGGGGTCTAGGCCTTATAGTAAGGGAGTTTGTGAAGGAATAGAGTATGTGCTAAAATCCATTAAGGCTGGGGGTAAAAGGAGAGTGATTGTCCCTCCAAACTTGGGTTTTGGAGAGAATGGTGCTGATTTAGGTTCTGGAGTCCAAATTCCTCCTTTTGCAACACTTGAGTACATTGTTGAGGTTGATAAAGTCTCAATTGCACCAGCATGATTTTTGAGAAATTAAAGTTACCAGCAAATAAAGAAGTACAACTACCAAAATTTGTTGTAAATCTTTTGTCACTGCCCTAGAATCATGATTTGCCTACAAGGGAAGGAAAAGTAAACAGGTATAATTTACAAGTTCAAGTTGCATCACATAATGCACTGACAAAAATGTGAAAAGAAAGAAGAGGAGAAAAAAACAAAGAGATCAAAATGTATAATGGTATGGCAATCTGAACTTTGTTTTTTTTTTTTTTGTTCAAGCATTAGTACAAGTGATATTCCTTATCAATGCACAGTAATATGATGAGAAAAGAAATGGAAATTCCTACATGAATACATATGGTTTATTAATACTATGTACTGGCTCTTGTAGAATTTTGGTCACAAGCCTCAAATGTGTGTGTGCAGTGGACTCTTAAATTGTTACTTAAAAAACGATTATATCATCAAGGAAACTGAGGCCAATTGAGAAGACAACCGAAGGGAAAGCATACTTATCTAACAAAAAGGCTTTCTAGTGAAGCTAGTGCATGTTATTAGAGATTTTAATTTGTGTTTGTAATGCCTTTATATATTCTGGAATATATTATCCATTTCAACAAAAAGAAAAAATCTAATTAGATTATATTTTATTAAGTGTTAACACTTTGAAAGAATGAGTTTTACACGAACACAAATAATGTTATGTGAAAGAACAAAAAATGTTACATTTGTGGGACGAAGATATTTATTTTTGGCTACATTATGTTTAGAATTTTTAAAAATGAAATAAAATAAAAATAAAAATCTAAAGGGCAAAGCATATCAGTACAATCCGGATCCGATTAAAATGGTTGCTGACAAAAATGTGAAGCCAAACGAAAAAAAATTAAAAAAACAACTAAATTAAATAAATAAAAAGTTGTTAAATAAGGAAGAGGAGGGTAGAGATGTCAAAAGGTCCGTGCTGGGCCGGCACGGCCCTTCTAACCTCAGGCCCATGGCGGGCCTGGGCCGTGCCTGGCACGGCCCTGTACAGTGCAGGGCCGGGCCTGAGGAGAAACCCTCAGGCCCAGCACTGGCCCTTGGCCCTAGTCCATAAGGGCCAGGGCCGAGCCTGGGCCCAGACCCTTCACGGGCTGGCCCTGGCCCTTTTAATTTTTTTTCAATATTTAATTAAAAAAAAGAAAATATATCATATGTTCCTAAAAAAGGTGATTTTATTAAATTGAGATAATATAAATAAGTACACATAAATGATCAACTCGTTAAAAACCTTGTCAAGTAAACCTCGTGGTGAGATCGGGACAAAACCTTAGCGAAGGAAAAAAGAGTGCAGTATTCTAGGATAAGTAAATTACAAACCTAAGTGCTTCTAGAAGATTTTGTTATGTCTAAACTCAATCTTAACCTAATTTTCTTAATGCACTTGAGTTTCACTTATGATTAGCAATATTTTTAGGATTTTTTTTTTAATTTCAAATTTGATGACAAAAAAAGGTAATATATCATATGCCCCAAAAATATGTGATCTTATTGAATTAATATGAATAATTATAAGAAAATGATTGGTTGACCAAACGGCATAGGTCGGCCAATTGGCCCTAAAATGCCTCAAACCTCATTAAAATTTCATGTCGCGGGCCTGGCCCTTCGCGTGCCTGGGCCGTGCCTAGCCCTTCGCGTGCCTGGGCCTTGGCGTGCCTGGGCTACGGGCCTCAAACATGAGGCCCAACCCAGGCCCTTCTGGCGTGCCGTGTCGGCCCGGCCCATAATAGTATAGGGCCGGGCCGTGCCGAATTTACTCCGCCCCATAACAGTACAGGGCTGGGCCGTGCCACTACTGTAGCGGGCTGGGTCGGGCCGTCCATGGACGGCCCGGCCCAATTGACACCTCTAGGTCAGAGGAAAAAAAGAGGTCGTTTAAAAAAAAAAAAAACTAAACGACAAAGTGGTCCAATCCAATGCTAGAAGGCGATGTTATCCAAACTCAAAAATGTTACGGAGGAGAAAGCATCTCAACGAAAAAGTCAGGGCTGCGAAACTACGAGTAATATGCATGGTGTGTTGTAATTCCAACCACACACTATTTTTTTTTTTTTTTTTTTTTTTTTTTCTCTCTCTCTCTCTCGCTTTGTATATGATATAAATAAGAAAAATCAAACCCATCAGCAACTTAACAATCTTTCCGTTAATGGAATATCAATTAGCTAAAGTGAAGGAATTTTAGCTCAGCATCTTCATGGGGACTGTTATCGACTCCCATTTCTTAGGCTTTACCGCCATTGTCACAGTACTTTCTTTCTCTCTTAACTCTGTCATTGTTTTCTTATTATTATTATTATTATTATTATTATTTTGAATTTCTTGCGTAATTTTGTGATTTGGGTTGTGATTGTTTTTTGTGTTTGAAGGTAGGATATCAGTTTTTGTTTTTTATAATCACTGCTCTTCTCAAGATTGACAAACTCACTGACTTCGCTGGTATTCTTCTTTTTGTATTATCTTCTTAAGCTTTCTTGGGCTTTCATTTGGATTGGTTTTCTTCTTCTGAATTTGAATTTTTGTTAACAGAAGAAGAGTTTAAAAAAAGTTTAAGACCATGCTGTGGGGATTCATTGAGATAATTCACTGAAACGAACCCAAATAGGGGAAAATAAAAGAAAAACCAAAACGCAAAGACTTAGTTGAGGAAAGAACTTTTAAGCTCATCAGCATCATCATCATTATTGTTATTGTTATTATTATTATTTGCTCAGAAATGGGTTGGATATTCCAGAATTTTATTTCCTTAATATGATGTGATGATTCTGGTTCTATCTTCTTCTTCATAGGAAGTACCAACTTTATTGTACTTGCTATATTGACTCTGGTGGTCAAGGGCTCATGGCATTTTAGGCAGGTATTTATATCCATCTCTTTTTGTTGTGCAAGTACTTTTTTTTTTTCCCTCTTCTTGTTTAAAGATTAACGGATTTTTGAAATGAAATTGTGTCTTTATCTTTGCCTCCATTTAAAGCGAATGAGCGCCTATGCGAGCGAAAACACTCAGAAAACCATTGCTGAAGTTGTATCATAAATATTCCTTATGTCAAATTTACAGCTTTTTCTCCTTTAATTTTTCAACTTAAGCTTCAATTTTGCATTAGCACCCAAAAACCGAGGCTGAATTTTATGTAGTTCTCTATGTCTTATGAGTTTTCTGAACAGATATTGCTGGTTTTACTATACTCTTCTTTTACGCAAATTTTAGTGCAAGTCTTTTCCTTGTGCTAATTGGACTATAATGGATTGTCATGATGACCTGATTTAATTTGCGAAAAGATCTTTAGCTTTTGTGCAGAAAGTAGGAATAGTTTGTTATTGAATCTGTCCCTTCCTACATATAAACTCTCAGTTCTTTCATTCAGGTTGTTTTGAGTTCACTTGTGATAATATGGGGTCTTCGCCTGGGACTGTTCCTATTGCTAAGGTAAAGTGGATACCCTTCTTTTTTCTCTTTTTTTAATCAGTTTTTCTATTTAAACTCTATTACAAAATAGAATTTGTTTTTAAAATGGATCCCAAATGTTAAATCAACTTAGAACAACCTCATATCCCAACAACTCCACATCGTTTTTACATGGAATTCGCCATCATTCAATGACCTTATCTCTTTTGGGTGAAAATCTGAACCTTTCCGTGAAGTTTGTTTCATGTATAACTAGGTTTCATATCCATTACTACAATTTAATCCTTTTTAACCTTGCACGGTAAGGACCTTAGTACTCAGTCTCCTACCCCTACAAAATCTGAGCCAGACCAGGTCTTTCAATTGTTTTATGAAGCCTCTAGTTTAAAGTCCCACGTTAGGTGTCCTATTCTAACTATTGATATCCGAAATCTTCCATCTAACTACATTTGTGTTGATGTCGTGGTAACTGCACCTATGATGTGGCTTTTCAATGCATTATGTGGTTGTCCGTTCGTGATAATATTTAGTCTTTCAGAAAGTAACAATATCCACTACTGAAGAAAATAGAGTGCAATTCATTGATGATTTTAATATTTTGGATGCTTTGACTAGGATTTTGCAGTGGGGAGAGGATAGACGTTTTGATGAGATGCGTGGCAATTTGGGGAGATTGGCAGTTTTCTGGATATCTCAGGTTTCTAGCTTCCGCTGTTTTCAACTTCTAATCAAATATAGTAGATGTAATTAAGATAGGGGACTGACCTATCTAGCTTTCTACAGGCTGTCTGGGTGTGGACTGTGAGTTTACCCGTGACAGTGGTTAATGCTAGTGACAGAAATCCATCCCTACATGCAGCTGACATAGTTGGGTGGATAATCTGGATTATAGGCTTTGCGATTGAGGCCATTGCAGACCAGCAAAAATTGTCATTCAAAAACTCTCCAGAAAATAGAGGAAAGTGGTGCAATGTAGGATTGTGGAAGTACACACGTCATCCAAATTATTTTGGTGAGGTTAGTATAGTCCTTGATCAGTGTAACAGTTTTATAGTCCTCTTGATTTTTATTTATGATTAGTCTACTAAAACTTAGTGACATACGTTTGGGAAAAGGATATATTTTATGTCATGAGAATACCAGAATACCATCTGTACGCATTAAGATCAACTGTGATTTATGATTTGATTCTTCGATTTATGTCTGTCATAATCATTGGAATCTTGATGAATATTTGCGCTTAGATTTTCTTATGGTGGGGGATTTTTGTGGCTGCAACGCCTATACTGGATGGTGCGGAGTGGCTTGTGATTTTTGGTCCCATCTTTCTCACATTGTTACTTCTTTTCATCAGTGGCCTGCCGTTACTGGAGGTTTGCTTCTCGTTATGATTTTCTTGTGAACTTTGCTCTACTATAAATCTTGTTCATGATGTACTACAAACATGGAAATAGGAATCAGCGGATAAGAAGTACGGAAATGTGGCTGCATACAGGATCTATAAGAGAACAACAAGGTTAAGTTTACCTTTTCCTATTTTATGTATTTTCTTTTGAGTGTGAAGGAAAGAAACCGAATTTAACATATATTTTTTTCAGCCCTCTAATTCCATTGCCCCCGCTAGTCTATGGGAACTTGCCTTTATGGTTCAAAAAAATTTTTCTCTTCGAGCTTCCGCTTTACAGTCGCAGTTTTCCTGATGAAGGGCCGAACTGGTGAGTCTACAAGTCTGTTAAAAGTATTTGAGTCATTGCAGACTAGATCTATGCTTACCACTGTTGATATCTCTTTCATTGTTTTGTGAATATGTTTTCTGCACATTTAGCGCATGTTTGCTTTTGCCCTTTTTTTTTCCCATGTCCTGCCTGTGATGAGGATTTCAATCTGAAAATGCATTGTTGGGAAAATGGTACGTGAGCCACGTGGGGAATGTAGCTTACCTTTAAACTATTCTACATTTGTTTTCACTGTCTCCTTCGATTATAGTACAACTGTGCACATTCTTTGGTTTACTGAATTTCTTGGCAAGACTAAAAGCAAAATCTTTTGGTTTACAAGCAATATTTATCTGAAAAGAAGATTGAGCATTATGTAACAATGTAACACATATTAGGTCCTCTCTGCATTGGTGGTGGCATGAAAGATGCTTCAAATGCTTCCTAAATTTTTCAGTATTATCTGTTTTCTTTATACTTCTTCCCACCGAATAACCGTGTTTCAACTGATCCGGAAAGAAACATTCTGGAAGCAAAAAAAAAATCAAATATTTAAAATTTGACTGCATGTTTTCTGAATTTTGTTGCAATAGTTATGTCCTCTTAAATCTGTCCGGTTCTAAAATCGGAAACAGAAGCTTTAGAACCTTAACAGAAAATGAGTTATCTGCTTTCAAAGCTATTCATATTCCATGCATCTGACAACAACATAAAAAGTGGTTTTTGGTGCTTCTTCGCTCTTTTTTTTTTTTATGGTTATTATTATTATTATTATTATTATTTTCACCATAATTGACTTTCTCATTAAGACATTTACCATCAATGCAAGGTGTAGAACCGGCAGAGGAGAAGACGATAGATTGAAGACGAGTTAGTGTATCATAATGATTTATCGTATAGCCTTGGCATTTCAAATTACCTGTTATTCGTGCTTCTACTATTTTCTGTTTTTCTTCCTCAAAATATTGTTGATTTAGATGAAACATTAAACAAATTACATATGATTAATCGATTTACGTCAGTTTTGTAGTCTTCCTTGCGTTTGCAATCAAGATCCGAAAGTAAAATGTTAAGAGGCTTTGCAGTTCAGTCCAAACTTTAGAAATGTAGGTTCACATAACAACCTTGAAAGTGACTCTAAGAGAGTTGTTGATGGCATTAATTCAGCCTCTGGTAGTCTGGTTGTTCTGACTGGCCTTGTTTTTCCCAACGTTTGGTGAAGCTCTCTTTTATTTATGTTTAGGTTTCGTTCATTTCACCGATTCGAGTTTTGTTACAATAAAAAACTTTCAGAAATAATCACATTTAACTTTTTTATTACAGTAAAAAGTTTTCAGAAATAATCACATCTAATTTTTTTACTACAGCAAAAAGCTCACATAAAGTCACATCTCAATTCGAATTAAAAACTTGAATCATCGAATTAAATGGGTCAGTGTATTAGTATTAGTGTATTAGTTCGTGTGCTTCCGCTTTGATTGCAAAAGAGGCTAATGCTTCTGGCTGATGGTAATTCGTATCTCTAAAGGCGCTTGAGCAGCTCATAATGGCAGATGTGGGGTAAATTATAAGAATGATACGACTTTCAGAGACTTGGTATTTGAATATATCCTTTCTGTAGTAATATTTGAGCTTAATTGACAGATAAAAATGGTATGGGTGAAGAACTACTTAAAAATGACGCCTAGCCTAATTTACAGATTTCAATACATTTCAAGGTATTTCAGTAATGATAAGATGAAAAGGGACCCCCAGGTTGTTTGGGCAGAGACGAGAATTGAAAGAAATGGAAAATTGAAGGGTGAACAAGCTACGTATGCAACAAAAATTTCTTTATCCCCGTGAATTAAACACACATTGTTGCACAAATGATTGAATTTGGGTTAGATTTTTATTCCACTAGAATGTTCTAGTGATGTGCAAAATATGACAGAACGTGCTTATAGTTTACACACTGAGAAATACATGGGCGAATTAAGTATCGAGCACTCAACTGACTCTTTTAAACAAACTTTAATAATCGATAAAGTTTGTTTAGTTGGTGTATTCGTGTTATGATTTGAATCATAGTTCGTAATTTATTACAGTATTTTTTCTCATAAAAAATACACATAAATAAAAAATAATTTTAAATTATAATTTTAAATCTAGAAACTAAACGCTTAGTCGAGAGAAAAGGACCTACAACATTTAGGCCATTACAAACACTACAAGGAAACAACTCTTGCGGGAAAACCTTTAAAAAATAAACTACATAATGCTAAAGCGACGGAGAATCTGTCTTGCATGTAAGACATAACAAAATAAATAAATTCAACAAGCGGAGATATCACTACAGTCTGAAAAGAACAAACACGAGCACCACCAAAGGATCTCCTCTCCTCAATGAACCAACCTCATCCTCTGCTCACCGATTCCTACATCCGTAGTCAGAATCCTAGCACAGAGAGAGACAATGCAGTAGACATTTTGGTCTTTAACATTCAGATGTCTCATAGTTAGGGCCCGTTTAGTTCTCTAATTCGAGTTTTTAATTCGAGTTAAGATGTGATGTTATGTGAGAGTTTTTTACTGTAGCAAAAAAATTAGATGTGACTGTTTTCTGAGAGCTTTTTACGGTAACAAAACTCGAATTCTAAACTCGAATCAGCGAAATGAACGAGGTCTAGTCTCTCATTTTATAAAACCATCTTATGAGTAATGTTAGGGATACCAATTTAAATCTCAACTTTTGTGTATTAATTAACGTAATAGGTGAGTTGTCATCTTATTATTGACATATGCAATCTCTTTTATTAATTAACATGATAATATTTTAAATACTAATCAATATAAAAATAACAACTAACATGTCACATTAATTAATATACCAGAGTTAAAATTTAAATTTGTGTCGCTAACATTATTCATCATCTTATTAATAGTCCCTACCGCAGTTTGACACAGAAGTTACGTCCACCACTTGAATTGTCAAAAAGCATGCCAAAAATAATAATAATAGTATTAATAATAAAACCCAATCCACCGCCCTTGGGAAGTCATTTTCGGGCTAACATGGTAAATAAAAAAAAAAAAAGGACCAAACCATCATAATGTTAATATAAATGTTCATTAACTATTTACAGCCCCCGGCGACAGTTTGCTTCTGTTCATATTTATGAGCTAACTTTTCCTATTCTTTCCTAGATTTTTATTCCTTAGATCTTACTCTTAATTTTTTTTTTTTTTTTTTTTTGCTAAGAGATAAAAAGATACCGGTGATGTCCTCACTTGAGTGCGTTTGTTTTAAGAATGTGTATCATGATTTAAATCATAATTCATAATTTATTATAGTATTTTTTTCTTATAAAAAATACATATAAATCAAAAATAATTTTAAATCATAATTCTGAATTCATTAACAAAACACCAGTGTTTTGTACTTAGATAACTGGTGGGGGACAACAGTGAACCTGACCCATGCTTTTGCCTACACGCAATCAGGGACCCCTCAGGTCACAATAAGCCCAATCCATATTCAGAGGGCCCAACTTAGAGGTATAATTACAACATCCCTGCAGACAAGGAGAATTATGCTATGTTTGGTAGATGGATAGAAAAGAAGGAGAGAGAAATAAAATGTTTAGGTGAAGAGAGAAAAATAGTTTTTTCTCATATTGTTTGATAGAAGAAAAAAAAAATAAAAAGAAAATATCAAATTTAAAATATTTTACAATAATATCCCAATATAAATAAAAATATGATGAATGGTGAATGTTAAAATTATTATTTTACATCTCATTTTTTAATCAAATATTTTCCCTCATTTCTTCCCAAAGTTAGAAAGATTAAAAATTAGTGGCCCATAAATTTTCATTTTCCTTCATTCCTCATTTTTTCTCTACCAAACAACCTAAAATTTCATTTTCCCCTGCAAAATCCTTCATGTATTTTATTTCCTCTTTCTTTTCCACCCTACCAAACACATACATCTTTCCTCTTTCTTTTCCACCCTACCAAACACACCGTAAATCTCCTATTGATGAGAGAAAAAACCCTAATAGGTCATCCTCTTACCGTCATGCCACCACCAGGGTGGTGATCTCAGTCTTTGTTTTGGAAGGTAAACGGCAGTATTTTATTCCATTAAATTTTAACCAAACATGTTATGTGATATGATATCCGTCGAAATTTCATTAAAGTACGAGGTAATACATACCTGACATAAGATAATAACACAACATTTTTTTTTTGGGGGGTGGTTTATCACGTACGTAAACTTGAAGTATGTATAATCGGGGATTCAAAATGGTAAATTAGCTTTATTGATCTCATAGAATTTTGTAGCCTTAGCCTTACTCGACAATAAACCTATGATGCTAGCTTATGTATATATATTTTCATTGATACACAATTAAGTACATGTACATCCCTCTGCAATCGTTGCGTCATTGTGCATGGAAAAGAAACTGCACAAATTACACGCCAGGCAGTGAAGACCTCCCAAAACCCGGGGCAAATGAAAAAAAATTATGGCAAAAAAAAAAAAAAAAACAAAAGAAAAAAAAGAAAAGAGAGAGAGAGAAGAGGAGGAGAAGAAACAAAAGTCCCAAGTTATACACCTGAAGTATTATTGATGTTTTCCAATGAAATAACGGCACCAGATATGGACTCATTTGATGGTTGAAAATGTGACATGAGAATATAGATAACCCAAAAGTGAAGGCACAAAAGGTAAACCAACGACCACAGTTTTGCTGTTGGATTCCTTCTCAGAAACACTGCCCCCGCCAAGAATATAGCATCGCATTGTTGAAGCAATGAATGCAAGTGCTTCCGGCTTGAGCGAATTTTCTCTTCAATTAGAGGCTTCAACTTTGAATCAGAGAGCTCCCATGCTCCTGATTCCAAGTCCCCGAATGAGGAGCCGGAGAATTCAGCCATTGATTTGTTTTCATCGAGCATCTTCGAAACTGCCTGCAAGATGCGTTAATATGTCAGCGCAAATCGTTGGAAGGTTATGTTTCTTTTTAATCGTCATTAACAGACGAGTGTATCATATTACCTCAATTCTGAACAGAATAGTTGCCTTATCTGAGGAGAGAGCCTCAACCTGGTTGACAAAGTGACGAACAAATATTTTATAAATAGCGATTACACAAAATTTGTGATGGTTGCATAGCAGGGTTGAGACTTGAAGAGAGAAACTGTTATACATATATTCCTCAACTTCCAATCTATAAAGTACGTAGTATATTCAAATTACTTGAGCATCAGCTCATGTCCGAACATGCAACTACTTTGTGACTAAAATCTGCTTCTAACACTACAAAAGCGTGCAAAAGACTTGCACATTAGCTTGGGGACTTTATTAGAGATACGCATGCGTTATTTATGAGTTGCCAACAAAAATTGCCATTTCAAATGATTAATCTAGTGTATCTGCGAACAACTAGTTATCGTTTCTTGTCATTTTTGTTCTTCAATTATAAAAGAAAACAGTGAAACAGATATATATGGTTCCGACCACTTAAAACAACCTAATACACATGCATGAATTGGACTAAGAAAATATTATTTAAGCCACAAACCTGGGCTTGTTTCTGAATTAAATGGTCAGTCATTTGGTCAAGCCTGCGCTTTAGCTCAAACTCTACTTCTGTAGGTTCCTCCATTCCTTTCCTAGTCATTTCAATGTTTTCTTCCAGCTTCTTAGCCTGAAACACAACAATTCTTCAAAAATGCTGTTTTAAATCAATCATTCTTTTTTTTTTCTTTTTTTTTTTTAATGGAGAGAGAGCTTTTATTGATAGAAATCAATACATTAGAAACCCAATGATAAGGTATCCTTGAATATAAAACAAGCAAAGAATATTAGAATTTAGTGACCTATCAAATCCTTTAACGAAGAATAATCAAAGACGGAAAATCTTTAAAAGCTTTATCCTTAGATGCCAATAAGGAAGCTAAATATTTGATTCTTTCTAGAGAAAGCAAACATCGTGCTTTTTATCTTCAAAACTTCTGTTGTTCTTTTCAATCCATATTACTCAGAGACCTGCTGACCACATACTTCCATATTGCATAACGGACTAAGCCATGTCAGATCAGAACTTGTACAGCATCATAATTTTCAGCACAAACACAAACTCACACAGAGAACTAGGGAAAGTGTTCCTAGACAAAGACAGACAAGACAGTAAGCATTCGAGGCAGCATCATAATTTTCAGCACAAAAAAAAAAAAGAGCACCATAACTTCTGTAACATTTTCAAATCATGGTTTAACAAGATAAGGTACTTATAGACTAATATGCAATAAAATATAACATTTACAATATAAAAAGCTTACCTGGTCTTTCAATTTTCCAATTTTATCAGTTAGAAGAGAGTACTCTGCCTCTAGTATCTCTCTTTCAAGTTCTGCTCCTTTTAAAGCTGTTAACTGCAATGTTTGCAATTTTGAAGGTATTCACCAAAAGCATAAGAAACCAGTTAGGAAAAAGGATTGACTATGAAAGAGTGAAGAAAAAAAAAAGTTCCAATATAAATTAGCACTCTTTCTACCATAATTTTCACAAGCATAATATAACATACTTTTTTCAAAGATGTCCCAGTCTGATGAATATTAGCAATTCTCCTCCGGAGTTCTACAAGGGATGATAGAATTATGTCAAGTCATATGCATGTTCCACTTCCACTAAGCAAAATTCGAGGAAAACAATTAATATCAATAAACCTTCCATTAAAAATGCTTTGGCAACACACAACACAGACGATTGGAAATCCATTGATAAAAATAACACTTTTATCTTTTTCAGGTAAGGACAAAACGCCAGCGTACTGTCATCTGATATTCATCATTTCTACACCTTTTCCACTATTAGAATTTAAAATAAATGAATAATTAAGTAACATTCCTCAGGGATCTACTACATCAATTTGTTATTTATTCTGCATACCTTCACGGTTCACTTCTTTAATCTCAATTTGTTGTCGCAGTTCTGCCACTCGGTTGACCTAGTGAAATATTTTCAAGTACAAGGGTGATTACTTGAATTAATGCACAAGTAATAAGATTGGTACAATTTGAAGGTTTAGCATTTCTTTACTTATTTATTTGCTTGAATAGCAATTGCTTACAATGAGGATTGAGGATCGAGAAAGAAATAAATAATCCTGAACCCATAACTATTATTTTCATTTATTTGTGACCTAGAAATAAAACTTCCATTTGCACTGGTCTTTTTTTTTTTTTCCTTTTTTTTTTTTTTGAGAAACATTGCACTGGTCTTGGTGTAAAGTTCCAAATGCGCAATTGAAGCAAAGATAACACAAATGTTCTACAAGAATTCAATAGGCCTCAAAGCTTGATGAATTCAACAGACAAAATATTCTTAAGTTTCTTTGCCTAAAGTGTATATAAAGCACTAAACAAGAAAACATTTTAGCGGGCCTATAGAAGAGAAGCTGGTTACTTGGGGTTCTTATCACAACTAAAGGAGGTGCGGGCCTATAGAAGAGAAGCTGGTTACTTGGGGTTCTTATCACAACTAAAGGAGGTGGGAAGAACGTGGGTGTACTGAGTCAAACACTCTAGTTTCTACTCATGTGATTTTAATAACTACGAAACCTACCAAAATTAGAAATTAAGCAAAAAAATTTGGAAGGTTAAGCATGTATGTCTCTCTCTCTCTCTCTCTCTCTCTCTCTCTCTCTCTCTCTCTATATATATATATATATATATATATATATATATATATTGACATTTTAACCAAATTATACAATAAGAGAATACCCCTTTTCTACTTGCAACAAATTCTCCCCAACTCCGGTGGAGGCAGGATCCTATCCAAAGTCCCTGGAAGCTAGAGTCTGTGCCAAGTGATTTTACCAACTAACTGGTTGACACCGTCAACATTTTTTAACAACATACTACGATACAGTTTTACATATCAAAAAAATTGAACGACATGAAAGAAATTGCCCCAATAAAATTTCAAACAGGAAATTGAACAGTTGGCTAAAGAACTATCTGGTTAAGCATCTAATCATACCTCCAGTTCAAGATTCCACTGCACAATGGCAAGAGATCTTGCAAGATCAGCATTGGCAGTCTGCAACCAGTTTTCACATTAGTGACAATTACAAACAAAGTTAAGCAAAATATCTTCAATGCCTAAAGATTAGTAAAGTAACAACAAACTTAACCAAATATCTGATGCCTAACAATTAGTAAACTATCCGCTGTCACCACTTTTCACCTTTAGTAACAACACAATAAAGTTGACTAAAACATCTTTGACGCCTAAACATTAGTGAAGTATTGACTTCCAATTTCCAAATATAGCAAATAATCAATAAATTGCATTCAAATGCAGATTTAGTCAAAAAATAAAAAATAAAAAGGGAAAGAAAGAAAATGAGAATGATTTTTATTCATTGCATCCATACAAAGTACGTTCTAATACCTCCAGTTTAGCCAATCGTGCTAGGACTTCCATCCTTGTGTTATTATGTTTCTGCTTCTCTAGCTCAACAGCTTCCATTGTCTCCATCATGGTTATTTGTAGCTTAGAAGCCTAAAGGATAGAAGATACATTGACATATACAGTTAATCCATGAGTTTAAAGTAGTTTTGAACAAATTTCAACAAAGCACCAAGCGATAATGACTAAAACCTTGGCAAATACAAATCTGTGAAAAATAAAAAGCTTTTGCATGTAGATTCCATGTTGAATCCAGTATAAGATATGCACCCATTCTACTTTGTTTTTTACAGAAAAACCGACTTTCACGATCAAAATGAGGCAGTAAGATTCCAATCTGTGAGGACTATCGAAACTTCTATGACTGGTTCAAAGTGTTCGGATGATGATTAAAAAGAAGAATAGAAGAAGAATGTTACAACAGCAATAAGCATATCTCACATGATATGAAAAGGCATTGGACTTTGTAGAAAATAAATCCTAGGTGGAATTTGTCGATTCCCAAAAGTTAAAAACTACAATGTCATTCAACTTTTATACATTCCTCGTCTCAAATATAGACCCTTCCACCTTATTGCTATCATCATATGATTTAACCAATGGTGCCACTAAAATTATACTGCCCTGAGATTAGGATAAATTTTGATTTAAGCATTTAATTCCCTGCACGTTTGAGAATACCTTATACTCTTTCCTTTGTATTTGATTCACTAATCAATAAAAGGAGTTATTATATTAAAAAAAAAAAACAACAAACACAATATACATGATTTCTCCTACCCTATTGATATAAGATTATCCAAATCAAGCTCACCAACAAAATAAAGGCCACAGATAATTAAAAATAGGTATATTTATATTTTTATACACTGTATTTTGGGTTTATTCAAAAACTATATCTTCAGTTTTTAATCTCATCAAATGTATACATTCAAATTAGATTTAATATACAAATCTATACCTTATTCCGGACAACAATTGATTTTGACCTTTAAAATGACCAAACTATCCTTAAGGAAAAGAGAAAAAAGAAAACTAAAACTTTCCAATATTACTAACAATAAAAATGAAAAAAAAAAAAACACGGAAAAAAAACCCATTTCAAGGTATTTTGAATATTCTTGAGGTCAAAATTGTAAGTTCAATTTTTTTTAGTTTTTTTTATTTACCATTTTTTATTCAACGGTATTTTAGGTATTTTTAAGGTTAAAATTAAGGGTTGACCATAGAAATGTATAAATTTGCGTATTAAATATAATATAAAGGTACATATTTGATAAGATCAAAAATAAAATGTATAGTTATTGAATAAACCCAAATCACAAAGTATAAAATGGTACATATCCCTCAAAAATAATAAAACATTAGCACATGGTAACTTTACCTCTTGCGCTTGTTGTTTGGTTTCTTCTTCAAGTATTTTCTCTAAGCTTTGCTTCTCTCCTTCCAATCTAGCAACCACATTCTCCCGCTCCTTGATGGCCTCCAAAGCTTTAGCTGCAGCTTTTTCAGCCAGGATCTGTTCTCTTCTCTGTCTCCTTTCCTCCCTCTCCCGTTCAACTTCAGACTCGAAACTTGAACCAGAATCCGAATCAGAATCAGAGCTCCCATAGCTCATTGAAGAAGAACCTCTCTTTAAATCATCAGAGGTAGAACTTCTGGAAGTTACATTGCTAAACTCACGCTTCCCCGTTATTGTACTTCCTAAACGATCACCACCATTGGCCATTTGCATCTTCGTATCAGAGGCAACATCCACTTTCCTCGAGGCCGACACCATTTCTGGGGTGGAGTTATCATTTATGGACTGCAAAGAAGCCTTCAAAGCAAGATTTTCAGAACCAAAAGTTCTACCTTCATCTTCGTTTCCCTTATCCTTAGTTTTCACAAAGGGGCTTACTCCTACCTCCTCATTACCCAATTCTCGCCCTTTCGAGTACTTGCCATCACTCTGTAGCTTAACACTAGAAGATCTACTGGCAGAATCTGAAAATCCAGACTCATCCCCATTATTGGCTTTTCCATTCACCTTGTTTCTTTCCACATTCCCCATCTTCCCTACCGACTTCGAAACACCGTTAATCTTCTGATTCCTCTCAACCTCTGATGCCGAAGAAACAGATGTCACACCGCTCTGTCTCCTCCCATCTTTTCTCAAACCGCGAATCCCAGCCGCCCCACTACTGCGACCTGGGGTGGCAGCAGAAATTGCAGGCTGAGTCGGGCTACTAAGGAGCTGAGTCCAATCACTATCAGTAAGAGTTGTTCTGGGTTTTGGCGATGATTTCGGAGTACCAACAACCTCTTTGGGCAGATTATAACTCTCATTCTTTTTATTACTAGTACTAAGAACGCTAAGACTTGGATCAATACGCAATTTCCCGTGATAATCATTGTTTTCTTGCGTTTTCTTCTTCAATTGGTCCTTCAGAGACACAGTGCCTCCTGTTTTCGTCGGGCTATCCAAATTTAAGCCCTCGACCGGAGACTTCTCGCCCTTCCTAAGTGACTCCGCCGCTTGCTGGTCGATCTGAGCCGCGCATTACAAATTATTACTATAAAAAATTATACGAAATTTTATTTAAAAGATCTCATTGCGGATCCCTTGGAATTCGACATAACAAACTCAATTAAGCATTTCTCCCAAAAGAAAAAAAAATTAGTAGCTTCAGTAAATTTTCTAGCGTTTTCTCAGGAACCAAACACGAGAAGAAAAGTGCAAAAGTGAAACAAATTAGGAAAAGGAAGAGAGAGAATTGCCTGCTGAAGAATGCTTTCTGCGGCTTTGAGTTTGGAAGAGATCCAATTCGCCATCAGAACCTTCTACTACTTCTTCTTCGTTTCTTCTAAGCTCGTTTCTCCGTATTTTTCCCAAACAAACTGAAAACGGGTGAAATGAGAAAATACGGATCAGAGAAGGCGCATTTTAGCAGAACGCCGCGTTTTCAACGATGAGGACATGAGGAGTTTGGTTACAGAAGGCGTATTTTAGTGGAACGCAGCGTTTTGGTGGGGAGAATTTGTGGAGAACAGAAGAAAGGTCCTCTTTGCGAGATGGAACGTAAGGGAAGGGAAGAAGGAGATGCTAATATGACGAACCGGTAAGAAACTTTTCTCACAGGACCACGTGGTTTCCGTTCGTGGCGTTGATCTCGAGTGACGCGAAGTTGATGGTGTTATTTATTATTAGTATTTTTTTTTTTAAAGTAAGTTGCTGGATGATGGTGTTATACGGGTCCCACAAAGTTGGAGAAGTTTTCATTGAGGAGTATTGGAGCAACCAAGTTTTTTTTTTTTTTTTTTTTTTTTTTTTTGGGGAAACCAATTTTTTTTTTTTTTTTTTTTTTTTTTTTTCTCTTCGAACATCCCCTCGACTTTTTAATTTTTACAATTTGATTTTTATTCTTTTTTCTTATGTAATTTGCTTTAACTTTTAAATCTTTGCGATTAAAGTCTAATAGAAAACAATATCTATTTTTTTTGAAAATTTTGATCATATAATGTGCATGTGAACATTTGTGACGTTTGGTTTATGGATTCAGAACCATGATTCAGAATCATTTTCGTTTTACGTGTGTTTTTTGTGAGAAAAAATACTGTAGCGAGCCACGAACCATGATTCGAATCATGGCCCGAATCCCCCTTCCAAACGTCTTATTTCACATCCTATTTATTTAGTTATATTAATTTTAGAATTATTTAAGGCGTTCACACACAATCAGCTTTTATAAACAACTCTTGATTTTTAAGAGTTATTTATTGCCTCAACGGACACTCCAATGGTGAAAATTTACCATTATTGCCCTCCACAGACACTCACATACGCGCCACGTGATCATAATCATTAAAAAAAATATATGTTATTTTAGTTGGACCTTAATTATAAAGATTTTTTAGTTGAAGGGATCAATTGTCAAGAAAAAAATAAGAACTAAATTGTTAAATTTGAAAAGTTGAGGGGGCATCCATATAAAAAAGTCATTATAGATCTCACGTTGAGAGCAATTAGGAAAGAGCAGCCGTATTTATCCCGATGGAATTTATTCCCATCAAACACAAAAGTGGACCCCATTTATGGGATCTACGTGGGTCCCACTATGTGGTGTCTACGTGAGTCCCACTATGTGGGGCGGATCTTATTATATGGGACCCACCTCTTCGTGTCTACGAAGATAAATCCCTATTGAGAAAAAAAGTTTTCCATTAGGAAAATACTATTTTTGTGATAATACTTTTATGTAAAAATTTGAAACATACTACTTTTAATGAATAAAAGACAATTTTTATCTTAGACAATCAAATATGGCTAATCACTAATTAACTGGAGTTAGTTCGTGATTACCTAAAAGTTGGGAATTTATATATAAATGAAAGGTAATTGTACACTTTATACCACATAAAAGTAATGTGAATCAAAAGAGATGAAATAAAATGGTAAAAACCAACAACCACCACTTAAAAATAGTATATAGTCAAATTAACTGCTCAGCTTGCTATAGTTTTTCCTTTTCCTTTTTTAGCTGATCATGTTATCTAGCATTATTTGCTGCTATAGTTATCTTTCATTCATTTGGGTCTCACTTTTTTTTTTTAATGTCAATTGGGAAGGGAGAATGAAGCATGGGACTTACGAAAACATCCTAACAATAAATTTCAACATAAGAAAAATAGAGAAGAAGAAAATTGTTTGTCGAATTTGAAGTCAAACTCCGATATCGAATGAATCTTCTTCTCCTTTCACCGTATTGTAGTCTCTTATATTTTTCTCTCAAGTCAAAAAGTGTAGAAAATAACCCTAAAAAGTCCAATTTATAGTCCTTGAGTTGTAAGGCAATCTTGTAAAATTACACAATTCAAAATTGCACAATTCGAAACTAGGCACGAAGTAGCGTCACAGCTCTGCCTTACTAGTGCCGTGGCGCTGGGCAGAAATTCGTGATTCCAAGGCCTTGGTTCGAAGTAGCGCTAGGCCTTGCTTAATAGGCGCAGTGGTGTTGAGCGTAAATCTGCAGCTGGTGATTCCGTAGCTCCATAGTGTTACGTGTGTGGCATCGAGGCGTTCTAAGTTTGGGTTTCTTCACTTTGAAGTTTTTCGCCTCCTTTTGGAGCCTAGGCGCTTCCTCACAAGGCTGCAGCACTATTACTCCATTTTAGTTCTAAAATCTCTTCAAAAATCACCCCTGAATTCCAATCTACACAAACCTACAAAATAAACTACAAAGAAAATAAATAACTCCTAAAAAGCACCTAAAAAAAACAACAAAATAATAACGTTAAAGTAACCAAATTATGATCACAAATCCAACATATCAAATTGTATCAACTTGTCGGAGGTTGAAATATTGTAATAGCTTTTCAGGTGGGGTTCATAATACCAATTCTAATCTTTTATAGTTGCGCAACTAATTTTTGCTTTGAAAATAAAACTAACAATAAAATGGGAGAAAATTAAAGAACAAAAAAAAAAAAAAAAAAAAAAAAAAAAAGGGAAAAAAAAAAAAAAAAAAAAAAAAAAAAAAAAAAAAAACACATGGCTTCGGCATAATGACATGTAAATTGTAAGTTTGTAACTCACGACTATATATAATCGAATTAAAGATAACGTAACCAATGACCAATTTCATTATAGTTCTCGTGAGAAAATTCAAACTAAAAAGTACCCCGCTCATAATTCATAAGTCATAAGTATGTAAAAAAAAATTCCGCTATACAATGATCACGAAATAATATAATTCAAGTTGAGCAACAATAACTCGATTGTTTGGTGGCAGTAACTTCATGATCAATATGAATATTAATCTGTTTAGAAGCTTGGAGATTTGTGAAAGTGTGGTGGTCATTAGCCATTTTAGCTTGTAAGCTCTTTTGGGTAGTGATCTCATGGATTTTGGTAATCATATGCAAAAAAGCATCCTCAACGTTAAGATTCTCCAAGGCAGAAGTTTCCATGAAACACAGGCCTTCTTTTTCTGCCACATTTCTTCCTTCTTCTTCGCTAACTTCTCTGGATTTTTGACCCAAATCAGATTTGTTCCCAACAAGAACGACAACCATATCTGGCTTGCCAAACTGCCTGAGCTCTGCCAACCATTTTTTAACATTTTCGAATGTGTTTTGCCGGGTAATGTCGTACACTAGCAACGCACCAAGTGCCCCGCGGTAGTATGAACTCGTAATTGCCCTAAACCTGTAAACCATAAAGATTAGACGACTAATTATCATTTAATTTCTTCCTAATTAATCAATGTAATTCATAGATGTACAAGATAGCTGCCTAGCTACAAGTGTCCATACCGCAAAAATAATAATCTCATCTGTACTTGTTTATACTTAATATGAGAAATTCACGTTTATTTTTATGACATTTTGAAGATCAGATATGCTTGTAATGTCAAAAACTAATCAACATGCAATTGTTTGTTGAGGGATTTTTCCGTGGGGATCGAACACATGACACATGTCTCACTCGATGTCAAGAAAATTTACTTTCGAGATCAGATCTCGAAAATAATCGGATGACTCCAACGTCAGTGATTATGAATTAAAATTGCGAGATATTAGAGAATTTCCCGTGTCATTGAGATCTTATTAGGCAAATTCATTTAATATTAACAAACAACAACCAACTGGTGATGGATCCAAGAAATCCTTTTGAGTGGCTAATTTCCCTGTAAAAAGGAGCATGATAACATCACTAATTTCCCTGTAGAAATTCTTCATTCTCGCTGTTTTATTGACTTGAATGTCTTTTTTTTTTTTGTTTTTTTTGGCATTTACACCCACCCTTGGAGCGCATCAAGACAGAGAGTACTGACGATGATTGGCAAAGGTACAGTACTGAATGTTGATCTATTGATGTTATTATTTTCACTCCAAGAATTTCTTCACCTTGTTTTGTTGTTCTTCCATGCAAGAACAACAATGAAAAACTTGAAAGCACATGCAAGTATATTTTGTTTGCTAAAGCGGCTAGGGATAATGTCCTTTGTCGCTATGGTTAATTAAAAAGTGAAAACTGAGAGAACGCTATCTAGCAAAGCAACAGGGTATGATTATAAAAAAAATATATCAAACCGATGATGAGCTAAAGGAAAGTTCGTGGTTGGGACTTGTTATCCACTTTAATTTCGTTCTTAAAAGCATAAATTAATAAAAGAAAAGTTTTCTTTAATTATTTGCTCTCTCTTTTCTTCTCTCCTCTCTTTGTTTTTTTTTTCTCTTTTCTTTTTCATATCTACTTCTGCTCACAGGAAAACATTATTAGACGGTATTAAGCTAGCTAAATCTAAGAATAAGCTCAAAAACAAAAAGTTAAAAAGAAAAAACTCAAAAAAAAAAAAATAAAAAAAAAAAAAAAAAAAAAAAACCTAAGAATAAGCTAGTTTTAAACTTGTCTAATTTACCCCTCAATTACAACCCTTGTAACATTTTGTCCATCGATTTTCAAAACGTAACATTCGTTTCTCTGAAAAAACTCATTCTATTAAGATTTTTAATGAAATTGATACATAATATAAGAATATATTTTGGTAACTCTATTATGAATAAAGCTAATTTCAATTTAAAAATTAAATTTTAATTTAAAAGTACAATTCTAATTCTTAAGAAAAATAAACTAAAAAACCTTAAAAAAATTTTAAAACAATAATCTCTTATTTTATTTGCGTATGATTACACGGGTGGAGCTAGCAAAGAATTGTTCAATGATCTTCATCTTTTTGTATGACATTGTCATATTTGTTATAAATCTAATGGAAGGAGTTTGGCCATTAATATTTTAAAAATCAGGTAGAATGAATGTTACGTTTTAAAAGTAGTAAAACACATTGTTATAAGGGCTATTTGAAGGAGAGTTCCATGATTAAGTCTAACTTTTTTTAGAGTTTACTATTTATATAATTGATGCTCACCTCTCTCAGAAAAAAAAAATCATGTTCAGCAACAATACACACTATATTTCAATCTTTTTTTTTTTACTGTTTTTTATTTGAAGGAATTACTAATGTAAGTACAATAATACTGCAGAATTTAAAGAGTATAACACATGATGCATATGTTAGCAATTACTAGTCTAATTAAAAAAAAAAAAAAATGACAAGCAGGCGACCGTTCTATATACGATGTCTTGTGGGGTTGGCGTCTTCATGACATGTCGCACTCTCGGTTACCTTCTAAGTTTTTAGTAATGAAATGATTAAGCATCTTCTTTTGTCGTCCTCAATTATGATAATTATTATACTATATGGCCATGTTTATTAGCTTCTATTGTACTGTATTATATAAGGTGTATTGTATTGTGTTGTATTGTCATAATATAATACGAAATTTGATATCATGACGTATTGTACAATGGGTCAAAATATAAAATTTTAACAATTATGTGGTCAAAATGTAATTTTTAAAAAAGTTTAGGATCAAACATACTTTTATAAAAGCTGAGGAGTCAAAATGTAAGTTTTAGAAAATATAAATTTTAATGTGCCCTTCAATTTTTAAACAACTATAGGTTCAAACATGACTCTATGTCAGTCCGACCCTGACCCCCAATCGTGTCTAATCCCGATATGAATTATGGATCCGTTATAAAATAATATAATACAATACAATATGCTAAAAATAAGTTGTATTCAGTAATACGATGTAAACAATATTAAATTACCATCCGTATTAACTTATATAATACGATGGTCATACCAAACATTATATTATTATATTATCATAGAATATAAAGATGATTAAATAAACATGCAGTATAAAAATGGATTGTATAACATGTTACATGATAAATTACAAAGTAGTACTAAATATTATGATGTGATGATTAATACCATGGGCATGCTTTGGTGTGATGATCAAATATAATCAAAGATGAATGGAATAGCTTTAATGCCATTATATATAATCATGAATTTGAAAAAGTTGTAGAAGTAGGGGGGAAAATGGAAATAGCCCATACTCATTAACCATGTTGTCTACAAATTAAGCTCACACAAGCGTTTCCACAACAGTTAAAGTTGTTATATATACTTATATATATATATATATATATTAACCAAAGTTCTTTTATATATGCTCACATGTGCTCCATTTGAGCAGTATTCTTTTTCGTGAACTCCTAATTCGTGGATATGGCCAAAATACAACAATAACAACAAACCGAAAGCATAAATCAATAAGAAAAAGAAAAAGCAAAGTTGAATTAATTCGTTTATAGTTTCTTGTCCAAGTTCGTTCGTTCGGTCTAGAGTTTATCTTTTATGAATTAATCTTCATTTAGGTAAATGGGTCCCACCAGAGTCAATCATTAGTTTCTGCTTTACCGCTTACATCTCTGACTTAATCAAATTAAGGTAGGAAAAGAGATCATGGGCCAAGAAGCGGCAACAGTCTATATAGCTTATAATTATCACAACTCTTCGTTTTAGTTAGCAGAATTGCATAGACATTCGGAAAAAAAGTAGACCAAAATACATATTAAAAGAGTTCGTTAATCAGTAGGACCTAGTATCCGGATATATATTGGAGATCACCAAACCCTGCCAAAACTCTCATGACTATTTCAGCCTAGTATGCATATAAAATATATATATATATATATATGTGGATTTGGTAGTGTGAATATAGATCAAACGGAAAAGTTGATTAAAGAATACTACATATATATATATGTGTGTGTGTGTGTGTGTATATATATATATATATATATATATATATAAAAGAAGCAAAAGGGCAAGTAAAATTACTATAAAGCGTAGGTATTAGTTGTTACCTTTCTTGTCCAGCCGTATCCCATATTTGTGCCTTGATGAGCTTGTCGCCAACTTTAATGTTTCTGTAAGCAAATTCCACCCCTATGGTAGGCTTGGAATCAAGCCGGAATTCATTCTTGGCAAATCTTGAGAGAAGATTAGATTTCCCGACTGCAGAGTCTCCAATAAGAACCGCCTTAAAAAGGTAATCACAATCTTCATCAAATGAATCATCCATGAAAATCTCTCTCTCTAACGCAGGAGAAGAAAATTTGCCTATATATATATATATGTGTGTGTGTGTGTGTGTGTGTTTTCGTTCTTTCCCACGGAGAGAAGAGAGAGGAAAATTAGTTAAGGAAGAAAGTTTTGAACTTTGAGAGAGAGAGAAATGGATATAAAAGGGAGAAGAAAATGAAATGTTTTGATTAAATAATACTAGAAGTTTAAGGACATACTCAAATGGATTTGTGTTTTTGGAATGTATTTGGGTATTTACATGTGAAGACATGGGTATGGACATGATGGCTGTTAATTGATGTTGTTGTCAAGCCTAGTGGGTGTCATTAAGAAAGTAGGAAAACCCCTTTTGAAATTTTCATTTGACTAATTGTCCACTACCATGAATAGGCCAATCATATTGATCCACGTGTAACTTTACATATTTTGTTTTCTTTTTCTGAGTTTTGTTCTTTTTTTGGATCTTATGTGGCGGTTTCTTATTCGTCTTTCCACATTGTATTCCAACAGAGCAGTAAGGTTATCAGGGAAAAGTTGCTCATATCCTTCCTCATTTGTTGCTTAAGAATAATGGTTTAGCACGATAATTGTTAATCATTCCAAATGCTTTCCTCTCATAAAACTAATGTTTTGATGTAACTTGTTTGGTGATTAGATATAAATCAAAGACCAAAATTAGGAGGTGTTTTGCAACAGACTCCACAGTTATGTGAATGTCCAAGTCAAATGCAAAAAACTGAAGAATTTATTCATTTCATGACTCAAGTCATAATTCAAGTCATATTATTATAGTATTTTATATCACATAAATTTAAATTTAATTTTTTTTATTACAATATTTTTTTTCTCACATACACAACCCAAATTATGACTTGAGTTGCGTAAATGAACTCATATGAAATATTTAATAAAATTGAAGGCTATAAGATTAATTAACCTGCCTATGATCTACTAAAGAAATTATAGGTTAAAATAGAGACTTTCTTCGCTAGGGCCAGTTTCTGAAAATAATAAAAAAATATATAAAACAGACAATTTCTGATACAGATTTAACGGTTAAAAGAGAATTATCAATAGTTTATTTTTCTCGGTCCTATCAAAGAAAATCCATTAGATCAAATATTTAGTGTTGTGAAATGAATTATGGTTTTTTTATACATATATATTATATTTATAGAGTTTCTCCGATAATCCCTCTCTACCAATAGTGTCAGTTTTAAATTGTTAGATCTAATTAAAATCAAATCAGATTAAAAACACTATGCAAGATTCTAATATAGATCTAACTATTGAAAATAAAGAACACTAATAATCTCATTTTTACAGGAATTACCACAAAAATTCTCATATTAATATAACAAGGAAGACAAAAGTAAACAGGGTAACAAATAAATAAATAAAAAAAAAACTGAGTCATGCCTAAAAAAGTATTTACGTACAGTTACCACTTACATAAATTATTGAATAAAAGAAAGTGTGGGGACATGACAAGATTTTACATCTTTCATGAGCTTCACATTTTAAAAGGCTGGTGATTTAGGTGAAGAAGCTTTTTTTCTTTAGCATGATTACCGTCGAAATAAAATTGGAGAATGATAGAAATTTAGAATAATTCATTTCTAGTCATCGCCACCAATGATATATATATATATGTGTGTATATATACATATGTATGTGTGTATATATATATATATATATGTATATTTTGGTTACTGAATATCAAGTCTCAGGATGTTTAGTCGGAGGATTCAAACCATGATTTGAATCGTGATTCATGATTCGTTACAGTATTTTCTCTCACAAAAAATACACGTAAATTGAAAAACGTCAATAATCTAATTTAGTTCTACTCAATTGTGGCTTTTTTTTTGTTAGCTTATGTTAAAACATGATGCTTAATCATTGTTTCTGCATATACTAGTTTAGCAGACGCCGTTAAGTTAGTTAACTAGACTATAATCAGTTTTGTATCTTCTCTATTCTTCTATTTTCCATATTAGTAAACATCATTTTTACACAATATTGTTACTTGGTATCGAAGCCATCTTGAAATGGATCCGACCACAAATCGGACGAGTCCATGAACACCAAAGGTGACTGAAGCCAATCCTATTCTTCAAGTACCGAATACCAACTAATCATTAAAAGCCTAATTTCCAATAGCTCAATTCATCCAACAAAAAACACCTACCAACTCTTGGAAAGCCCCCGACTATCAAGCTAGATCGAGACAATTATTTATTTTGGAAAAACTATTTACTAAATGTCATAACTCGCCAGCGACTTGAAGAAAATTATTGATGGATCTCACCCCTGTTCTCCGAATTTTTTTGACTCACACCATTAAGTGTGAATCCCGGGTAAATGAGGAATGTTGTAGTAGGATGACAGCCAGCGTAAAAATATGTCACTCTACATGAATTTCTCATTTTGTACACCATTAAGCGTGAATCCTCAACGCGACGTTTGGCTGCGGTTGAATCGAGTTGTAACGAGTTAGCACTACGTATTTGTAATTGAGCGTTTTGCCGCTCAGATAATAAGCTATTCAATTGCGTTTGGGACCTGATCATATCTTGAAAGAAACTTATGCTGCAAATAATAGATCCAAAGATTAAACTACAAACACTCGAGAAAGAATGTCCGACGGCAAATGAGTACGTCCTCAAGCATAAATCTCTCAGGGACAAGCTAACTTCAATTCGTGAGCATCTCTCTCACAATTACCATGTCATTTAATATTCATGCTAGATCTGACCAACCGAGTTTAAAGGAGGATACATAGCTTGTTGCATAGTTGAATTTGAACCAAATGAGCCTTAATCCTCAGGCTAATCGTATTACATTTCAAAATAACAAGAAAATGTAGGAACCAAAAGTACTCTAATAATCTCCTTACAATTCCTTTCCCCAGTCACATAAACAGTTCTTTCCAAATTCCTAGCTCAATTCCGAATCATCCCAGCATCCTTGACGAACCACAAATTATGATGATGCAGGTCAAATGGCAGCGTAAACCTCAACAACACAATGGAAAGTAGAAACCTCAATGCAGGCTAAATGGAAAACCACAAGTTCCCATGATGCAGGGCAAATGGCAGCTTGGAACCTCAATAACACAATGGAATGCAAAAACCCCAATGCCAAATTTGTCCATAATTTGGTCATATTGCCTTTTGAGTTTTATTACAGGGCCAATCTTGCATATAAACCTCAACACAACATCTTCTCTAATCATGGTCAATTAAAAATCCTCTGGGTTCTATGCTTGCTACCTCTACAATGGCCTACCCAATTTAGTCCAAGCAACAATGGTTGTGACATGAACTCAGGTGTCTCAGAATTCTACTCACTCCGATTCATACCTATTCCAATTACATTAGGTAAACACGCCTTTAATTTATCACCTCTATCCTAGAATCCTAGTCAATCACCAAAGTAACCTCATAGGTGACGACTAGTCATCTGTCAGCAACAACTAGGTTACCACATTCGTATGATCGCTAGTTCACCAGCTTCTGGATGCCACATTCGCTTGATAGCTAGGTTACCATTAGTCAAATCCACCACAATTGATTTATGGTCGCTTCTAGTTGCGAGTCATGCCTTATATCAATAAAGTGCAACATCGAATGTTGTGGTCGCTTCTAGGCCATAAGAATTGCCGGGTAATTACCCTCAATTATCTAGTAGGTGACCACTAATCACCTACTCTCGCCTCTAGTGGCCGTGGTCTACGAATTCAACCCCCTCATTTCAACTTTTCTAACTATTTTTGGACAACAAAAATATGTTCATTCTATCTGTTTTCAACTCCTTTCAAACACAAATTCAGATTTTGTTCCATGTTTAGATTTAGACTTAAACTGCACATTCAAACATCAGTTCGGATAACAATTTAAACCACACAGTCCAAACATAAAGAAATCAAATCAGGATTAACAAGAGATCGACAGAAAAAAAAAAAACTTATATCTTGAAATTGAAGAAGAGCTTCTTAGCTTCCAATTAGTTTTGAGCTGGGTCTTTTGAGCTGCAATCACAACCACGCCTTCCGTTTGCGCCTTTGCAAATTTTCGAAACACTCTTCAACCAAATCAAAGTCATAACAATATCAGGACTCTTGTGTCATTTTATTTCTCAAAACCCAATCCCAACTCGGCCACCAAAGCTTGATTTCATTTGGCTTTTTGGGGGTTTTTTTCCTTAGCTTTTTTTAACATGCAGAACCAATTTCGACTCTTTCTCATCATCCCAAATTCCCACATTCTCGAGGATATATATATAAGGTCTCGTTCATTTTACCGATTTGAGTTTAAAATTCGAGTTTTGTTACAGTAAAAAGCTCTAAAAAACAGTCACATCTAATTTTTTTACGATAATAAAAAAACTCTCGTATAATCACATCTCAACTCATATTAAAAATTCAAATCAGCAAACTAAACGAGCTCTAAGTATATCTCTTTTGTTACTAAAACAATTTAAACTACAAATTGGCCACCAGTTTACCCACTTGCATGTCACGCTTATAAAGGTTTTATACTTTTAGCTCTTGGCCCCTCCGCTCTTTTCTTTGAAGCCAACAACTAGAATTGAGCTCGAAGAGTCATTTAATTCATATTCATTGTATGTTACACTTACTAATTCATATTCATTTAATTCGCCTGATTGGCGTCTTAATTCTTCCCATGTTATCTTTTCTCTTTAACAAAAAACACATTGACCCGCACTATAAAGGGAATTTTAGGCATGGTATTTTTGTACTAACAGTAGAGTCCGTAAATATGTATAACCGCATAATTGAATGCTGCAAAAAATTTATCTCGTGAAAATATGAAAAACTTTAAATTATGTTCAAACTTATGAATTGAACAGACCAATGAACAACAGTCCCTTATATCACAATGTTTAGTTCCACCGTCAAATACATTTCTACTTGCTCCACTAATATATGATTCGGGCTTTGAATCTTTTTGTGCAGTTATTTGATATTCAATTTCAAATGAAGGAAATTTATACAATAGTGAGCTGTCCTTTTCAATTACCGGTAAAAGTTGTAATTTTAACTGTTAAATTAAGTTTTTAATGGTTTGATATGTGATTGAAGTAATTTTATTTCGTGCACTATAAATTTATAATGTAGACTCATAATTTAAACTCTTAAAAACTTCATCCAACAGTTAAAATATTATTTCAAAAAGAGTACTTACTACTGTAGAAGTTCCTTCAAAGGAATTATATACAAAAAAAGGAGGAGAAGAACCCTAAATGATTAGTTTTTTATCTTATTTTTTTAGGATAAATTACATTTATTCCTCCTGAACTATAAGCGTTTGAACAAAATGTCACATAAACTTTAAAAGTAACAAATTTTTCTCATGAACAATTCGCCGTTAACACATGTCTCCCTTTTCTACCCCCTCGATTAAATTTTGAACGTTATGTACCACGTGGAAATTGTTGAGGCATTTAATTTATATTTTATTATGAAATTACGATTTTACCCGTATAGATTAGTCAATCTCACCCAATCAGAAGCATCTCAATCCTCACTCTCTTTCCTCTCCCTTTCCCGTGCATGACCACCAAGCTCCAGCAAGTATTCCGGCATCAATTTTTGACACCTCCCGGCTCATTGAAAAGCTCTCGTCGAGCCAAGTCTAGATTGGTGTCTTGCGGTTGCCAACTCCGCTGGATAAAGGCACACTTTCTGGCTGAATTTTCAAAAAACCCAACACTTTCAATCGCCATAACTTTTCCGTCCGACCTCCGATCCGAGTAATTTTGGTCTCTATGAACTCAGACTGATGAGAGGAACAAGACCCACCCAAAGTTTGTCGTCAATTCCAGCCGAAAAAGCTTCACCACAACCACCCTCCACAGCCGCCACACCTCCTCTCAGAAAACTGCAATCCCGACGGTGGTGAAGTGCACTGCCCCCATCATTTCACTTAGAATCCATAGATGAGTCAATCCCGACCAGTAGTCGCCGCCATCCTCACAGATTTGCAAGAATTCAAAGTCGGCTCGCCGTGGAGGAGTTTGGTTCCGTCGATTTTGGCTGTCATTTCTCATGTCATTGGTGTCAAAACACTCAAAAGTAAGTGGGTAACAAAAGCCCCAACTCAATTTCTCCGATCTGTGGCTCAAAAACCAAGAACCAAGTCACCAGAAACTGAGAACCAAGTCGGAAAATTCGAATGGATTTTGCCCTATTTCTAACTCAACACAGTGAATTACCTTTTTACCATTAAAATGAGAGTCATATGCCATCTACGTGGAGGAGTTTGGTTCCGTCGATTTTGGCTGTCATTTCTCATGTCATTGGTGTCAAAACACTCAAAAGTAAGTGGGTAACAAAAGCCCCAACTCAATTTCTTCGATTTGTGGCTCAAAAACCGAGAACCAAGTCACCAGAAACTGAGAACTAAGTCGGGAAATTCGAGTGGATTTTGCCATATTTCTAACTCAACACAGTGAATTACCTTTTTGCCATTAAAATGAGAGTCACATGCCATGCACATGATACTTAACGTTCAAAATTTAATTGATGAGATAGAAAAAAAAGACTCGTACTAACAACGAATTACTCAAAAGAAAATTTTATTATTTTTAAAGTTTATGAAATATTTTTCGATAGTAGGTTGCTTCCAAGCTCAAACCATTTGAAGTTCAAACATTTATAATTTAAGGAGAATAAATGTAATTTATCCTTTTTTTTATTCACATGTTATCGGGGAGAAACGAATAATTTGATTATTTAATCAAGTGTCACGGATTTCATATTGACACCGCGCTTTTCTGTCCAAGAAATGAAACTAATTTCTAACTAGGAAATAGGATTTTTTTTTCTTTTTGCTGAAAAAAAACTAGGAAATAGGAATATGGATCGTAATATTGTACACAAAAGTTTACAAGTAAATTGTTTGTTTTTGTTTTATTTTTCCGTCAATAGATAACGGTTGACCGTTAATTCAACGTTTTTGACTGAATAATAAACTACTAATTATACTAATAAAGCACTTTTCGTGCTCATCAATGTTTTGCCTTGGTCAACTATTTAAAAAGGAATTATTTAGTGCACTTACTCGTTTAGTTTATTAATTTAAAATTTTAATTTGAATTAAAATATAAATATAAAATTTTTTTACTATAATAAAAAAATTAAATATAATTATTTTTTAAAATTTTTTACTGTAATAAAATTTAAATCGATAAAATAAATGAGACTGAGTGTACCACATTATCATGTATATATAGTACACCTATATAATGAGAATTTAACATATAAATACTTTATTTATGTCACTTTTTGGTGATTATGATTCTCTTTCTTAATGTATAGGTCATTAATTGTGTCTTTTTTTTTTAGAAGATAGTCAAAATTATTATAATTACACTACCCAAATTCTTCATATTAATTAGTTAACTCTAAGTTGATGACTGATTTTTGAAATTTAAATTTGTATGATAATTTTAAACGACACCGTTATTTTTTCACTCTATAATGAACACAAGCATATATTTTTCAGACTTTAATACTGAGAAAATCTGTTGATCAGCACCTATTCAATATGTGATCATTAGCATTTAGTGACTACAAAGTAGAAGGGGAAGATACAAATTCTTTTTTTCACCTAAAGAGTGAAGGAACATTCATGAATTGAAAAGAAGATTAACCAAAATATAAAAGAAAGAAAGAACATTAGGAACCTGTCGCAACGCGTATAGTGAAGAAGTTGTTTAAAACTTCATTCATTTTACCGATTTGAGTTTAAAATTTGAGTTTTATTACAGTAAAAAAATTCTTAAAAATAATCACATTTAATTTTTTTACTACAGTAAAAAACTCTCACATAAAGTCACAAGAGAGACGTTTATTTCATGAATTAGAATCATGTAATTAGAACCATTTTTTATTTACGTGTATTTTTTATAAGAGAAAATATTATAGCGAACCATGAATCATGATTCGAATCAGGGGACGAATTTCTTAACCAAATAACCTCTTAAATTAAAAACTCAAATCAATGAACTGAACGGACTCTAAATTTTCCAAGTTAGCTTAATGTTGAAAATATGTTTTTTTAAACTAAGAATAAAATTATGAGATGTTAATTAATATAAAACATTTAAGTAGGATATTTACGATGATTTTGACCCGGTATTTAATGTAAACCACATTAGAGTTTATTGGATGGTATACGGTGTACCACGTAAATGTGATGAGGTGGTACACCGGTCCATTGAATAATTCCTCCAATTTAACGCTCTGTTTGCTTGGCCATAAAACAAAGTACCCAATTTCCTGAGACTTTCCTGGAAAAAAGGCAGAAACTGATCAAAGTTGACAAGAAAAGAATCGTTTTCTCAGAAATTGAGCCACAGGAACATATTCCTCAAATGTGATTACCAACGAGAAAGCGCGAATCTAGATATTTGACAGAGAAAATTCAAACGGAAATCATTTTCTCGGAATATCTTAGATTTAGAAGTACTTGTCAATTCAGCTTCTAACAAAAGCACCAGAGAAATAAAAACATATATATCCTATCAACATCCATATCAACTTGCCCTAATTCAACCATTTTACTAACATTATTTCCTTAAAAAAAAAAAAAAAAAAAAAAAAAGCTAACCATTTAGATTTAGAAAGGCTTTAAGAGGAAACGGCGCGTACATTGACGCGCTCATCATCGATCCGCCGTCGATCTCGCGAATCAAGCATCGTTGCCGTTGCGGTTGCTGGCGATGGTGTTAGTCATCATCTTTTCGAACTCAGCGAAGTTGACGTTGCCGTCGCCGTCGGAGTCGACAGAGATGATCATGCGGTGGCAGTCTTCGGGGGAGCATTTCATGCCGAGGCGGTTGAGGACTTTGTGGAGCTCCTCAGCGGAAATGAGGCCGTTCTTGTCCACATCGTAGAGATCGAAGGCGTCGCGGAGCTCGGCGGAACCGCCATCGTCGGAGCCCTGGCTGCAGAAGGCGCCGAATTCCTTCACCGAAATGAAGCCGTCGCGGTCGGAATCGAGATCCTCTATCACGCGCTGGAGATCCTTGGGCGTAACCGTTGTGCCTTGGGCTTTGAGCGCCTCGCCGAGCTCCGCGACGGAGATCTTGCCGTCGCCGTTGGCGTCGAATAGATTGAACACCTTCTCGATCTCGTCGGGGTTCTGGAGGTACTGTGACGGCTTCGATTTGTTGGATTCGGTGTTAATTGGATCTGTCGCCATTGTTGATCGATTGAGTAAGATAAGTTTTACTTGCTTTTGAATTCGGAATTGGGATTTTGGGGATTAAAATGGAGTCTGTTATGCCTTATATATAAATGTAGAGAGAGAGAGTTGATGGATCTTTGGGGTGGTCCCGTTGGGGCCATTTTTTCAGGACCCCACACGATATACTAATTGGATTAAATTTAGAACCAACAAGAGAGAGAGAGAGAGAGGTGGGCTGTCGCTGTCGGCGCTCTTGTCTCCGTGTTTCTTTTTTTTTTTTTTCTTTTGGTTCTCCGTGAATTTTTATTAAGAAATGTTGTTTTTAAGGTAAAGTTTCATTAATTAAAAGGTCTTAAAGAAATCAATAATAACGTAGAGAGCGGGGACTTTAATTCATAAATTTAAAATTATGATTTATAATTATTTTCAGTTTATGTGTGTTTTTTTAGAGAAAATACTATAGTGAATCACGAATCATGATCTGAATCATGGTACAGATTCTTACTCCAAACGCTCAAAATTCTCATTTAAGTTGTCAAACTCGGGTATAACTTACATTTGGTAAAGAGAAATAATTTTAAGACAAAGTCTTAAGTCTGAGAGCCTTATAATCCGATACGTGTACTATTTTTTTATTCCTATGTAGCATCGTTTATATGTGTATGTAGCATTCGGTGTATTATGTAACATTCGGTGTATTTAAGCGTTAATGCTCAATGTTACATGTTTTAGATTGTCTTTTTTGACTGTTACACTTAAGAGGACTAAGTGTTACAAATAAAGAATGATGTTACACGGTAATTAAAAAAATTACATTTGACTAATTGATCCGTCAGTTATATTACACCAATCAGTAGAATTTTCAAATTAAACAGTTAGTTTTTTATCCCATTTTCCCGCACTTTGTCAGGCCATTTGATCATGCCTTTTCGCATTCACCGTTGAATATTGACAGTTTTCATATCCAATGGTTAGGGGCGAGGCATCATTTGACCTATAAAATGAGTGCTTAAAAAGGCCTCTTTTATCATTCTTATTCGAAAATCTTGCCCATACTTTGTCAAAATTTTGTCTAATCTCAAAACTCTTCAAAACTTCCATTTGAACTCGTTTTGTCCCTAAATTTCAATCAGAAGTGGTCGAAACCAACCATCCAACAAGTTTTGAAGTTCAAAATTTCAGTGTTCTCCTTCTGCCCATTGTGAACGTAGCTCTCAATTTGAGGGTGAACCACTCTAAATTTCAGTGTTCTTTCGTTTAATTTTTACGTTCTGTCTTTAGTATTGCATTTATTCCTCTTCCATCAAGTATTAATTAGCTTAGAGACTCGTAAATTACTTGTTAACAAACTTTTATCGTCAATAATTGACACTAAAAGGAGAACCTGAATCTCTGATTGGTTGAAAATCCTATGAAGAAAATAATTTCATCATGGCTCCAAAGAAGACACGAAACACGACGAAATCAAGACGGTCAAACCGCTGGCGCCGAAGCTAAAGCAGCCAACAAAACATATCAAACACTCCAAAGGGATCAACCCATGGATGATACAAGTGCAGCTAATCGCAATCAACAAGAAGAAGTTGACGATGTAGGTAATCAACCCGATCCACCTGGTTAGGTCACAAAGTTACAGATGCAAGTGGCTAATTTGATTGACATAATTGGCAATATGGTGGCGCTGTAGATAGGCATGAGAATCGCTACAATGAAAATTTGGAAGACCAAAATCTACCGATAGTTTTTAGCAACAACCAAAAACTCCTAGAAACTAATTTAATTTTGGAAAATTTTAAAAGTTTAAGCGACGACAATTTTGAAATTGTCGTCGATAAAAGTCTTACTGACGTCATTTTCTATCATTTCGATCCCACAATTTAATATCGACAATGTGTCATTGCTATAATTTAACGGCGACACCTTGTCATTGCTAAAACTATTTTAGCAACTGACATTTGGCAATGACAATGTAGTGACGACCTCCCAGTTTTTAGCAACGACTATTGTTGTCGCTAAAGGCCTCATTTCTTGTAGTGAACCGATTTGGTGTAGGGGAGGGTGTCGAAAGCGGATCGTCCACCTGGAGTAGGTAAAGGTGTTGAAGGTGAGTGGTTTCTCGGAGTAGGTTAGTTGGATCAAAGGCGAACAGTTCAGAGACTCGTAAAAAGGGGGGGAGACTTCCTGGGTTTAGGAGTGGTAGAGCGTTATGATACAACACATAATTCTAATTTCCTTGTAACTATAATATTCAAACTGAATAAGAATACCATCTTTCAAGCCGGTGTGCTTAGCATCTGTGTTTGTTTTTCTAACTTGAGGTTTTGGTCACGTTAACTAATTACATCCGGTGTTCACTTATTTTATTTATGCATGTGAATGTCTTGTTTATTGTTTACTAAATTTTTTTTATTTGATAAATAGTTTAGAATCAATAATCAATAGATCTGTTAGACAGATTTAGATTGTTCACTTTTCAGGCCTTAACAGACTTTATAATCGATGTATAATTGCAATTGGACATTGCCATAGCGGATTCGATAGAAATAAGTGGCCATTGGTGAGGAGATTTGATTAGTCAACAGGCTTTTTCTTTTTCAGCAAAAATGAAAATCAACCCACCTAAATTAATTTGAACAGGGTTGAGAAATTTCAAAAACTCACCTACTTTACGGAAAAACAAAGTAAAAAAGTGATGTTTTAACTTAGGGGGCGTTTGATAGAGGGATTCGTTCCCTGATTCGAATCATGATTTGTGGTTCACTACAGTATTTTCTCTCATAAAAAATACACGTAAATCGAAAATGGTTCGAATCACATGGTTTGAATCCTCTAACCAAACGAATCCTTAAAGAAAGTAAGGGTCTGTTTTGGTACCGGGATTTAAATTATAGTAGTTTAAATTTTTGAATTTAAACCGTATGGGTCTTAAACTACGTGCTTTGAACCTGAGTTCAAAATATAAGAACTTAAGGGAGGTAAGTTTAGAAACCCTTTGCTTTTTATGGTTTAAATGTCACATTAAGGGTTTGTTTAGTTCACTGATTTGAGTTTTTAATTCGAGTTGAAATATAATTTTATGTGAAAACTTTTTTACTGTAGCAAAAAAGTTATATATGATTGTTTTTAGAACTTTTTACTGTAACAAAACTCAAATTCTAAACTTGAATTGGTAAAATGAACATGGCCTAAGTATTCAAACTATTTTTTACTTTTTATAAATAAATACTGATTTAAATCAGAATTTTAAATTCAAACCCTCATACAAATAGACCCCAAACATTTTTGATATTTTTCCTGAAAAGACTAAGGCCCTGTTCATTTCACCGTTTCGAGTTTAAAATTTGAGTTTTGCTACAATAAAAAGCTTTCAGAAACAGTCACATCTAACTTTTTAATTATAGTAAAAAACTCTCATATAAAGTTACATCTCAACTCAAATTAAAAACCCAAATCAGCGAACTAAATGGGTCTTATAACATCCAAACACAAACTTAAATTACAACTTCAACTCAAATTATAACTTAAATTTAACTTAAGATCTACACTTAAATTATCATAACTTAAAAAATATAACTGAACACACCCTAAGAGAGGCTAAGTTTAGAAACCTTTTGCTTTTTATGCTTTAAATGTCACATTAAGGATTCAAATCACTTTTTACATTTTGTAAATACACACTTATTTAAATTAGAATCTTGAATTCAAATCTTCACAAAGAGACCCCAAACATTTTTGATATTTTTCCTGAAAAGACTAGGCTTAAATATTCTCTTAAACTAAAAACGTTAAGCTTAAACTTGAGTGGTAGGAGTATAAGGGGACCTTTAAAAAGGAAATTCGTGTCATGATTTAAATTATGATTCGTAATTCGTTATAGTATTTTTTTTCATAAAAATACACATAAAATAAAAATAATTTTGAATCATGAAACAAACATCTTCTAAGGAGACATTTGATTCATGAATTAAAATTATAATATTAGAAACATTTTTAATTTATATGTATTTTTTATGAAACGAATCTAATGTCTCGTTCATTTTACCGATTCGAGTTTTCAATTTTAAATTTTTACAGTAAAAAATTTTCAAAAAATGTCACATTTAACTTTTTTTATTACAGTAAAAAATTTTAAAAAAATATTATATATCAACTCAAATTAAAAATTTAAATTCACAAAGTAAACGATGTCTAAATAACTCAACGAGTCTCCATGTGAGGGCATATGGCAATAGGGAAGCTTAAAGGAAGTATCTAGAAAGGCATGGTGGGGACGTGCACCTTTTGTCTTTTACGTCAGAATCATAAATCCCTTTTTATGTGCTCCAACTTTTTTTTTTTTCTTTCTTTCTTTTTCGAGACTACGTGTAATCGTGTTGAAATTTGCGAACATCCGTGGCCAGGCCGTCTTGTGTTGGTTCTGAACTCGGTTTCAACGCGTTTCTAACGCAGCAATAGAAAGTAAAAGCGAAAGGAGGAGACTTTTCCGTGTGACCCTTTTTTGTTTTTTTTCTTTATAGGTTGGAATTATTATTTTATTGATAACTTTTTTAACAGCATACTTTGTGATTATGCACAATAAAAATTTACGTGATATAAAACTGTTTTTAATCCTATACAGTAACATTAAAATATTCTTATGATTAAAATAATAATATTTATTGATAAACAAAAAGGATAGTTTTTTACTCAAAACCTTTTTAAATAGAAAATATTAAAATTTTTATGTAGTAGGATCTTTTATTAATAGTACATATTTTTATTATTAGAGTTTATTAAAATTAAAAAAAATACAGAACATATATAAAATTATTGGCTAAAAAATAAAGATATACCGGGAATTATATTTCGAGATCTTACCGTAGACATCTCAGGGAATATTGTTAATAAATAATAACGAATTCGGTGCTTAAAAGAAAGTGTGGGCTTCATTATTCAGTGGACACGTTTCTTTCTTGGACACTGGAAGTTGCCCGGTGATTTGTTAAATTCAAATAGCTTTCCCTTTTCTATTTCCCAATCTCTTGTTTATTTAATTTTTGTATTATCGACCTCTATTTTTATTTTATTTTATTTGTTGTTTGTTTGAGAGTCGC